GTAACTGCCGGTCAGTGCAAGTATACTGTAAAGACGCCGCGTGGCCACATTTTCGACAACATAAGCTCACTCGTAAAGTTCACTTCGCTCTCCATCAAGCGTAACTGCCGGTCAGTGCAAGTATACTGTAAAGACGCCGCGTGGCCACATTTTCGACAACATAAGCTCACTCGTAAAGTTCACTTCGCTCTCCATCAAGCGTAACTGCCGGTCAGTGCAAGTATACTGTAAAGACGCCGCGTGGCCACATTTTCGACAACATAAGCTCACTCGTAAAGTTCACTTCGCTCTCCATCAAGCGTAACTGCCGGTCAGTGCAAGTATACTGTAAAGACGCCGCGTGGCCACATTTTCGACAACATAAGCTCACTCGTAAAGTTCACTTCGCTCTCCATCAAGCGTAACTGCCGGTCAGTGCAAGTATACTGTAAAGACGCCGCGTGGCCACATTTTCGACAACATAAGCTCACTCGTAAAGTTCACTTCGCTCTCCATCAAGCGTAACTGCCGGTCAGTGCAAGTATACTGTAAAGACGCCGCGTGGCCACATTTTCGACAACATAAGCTCACTCGTAAAGTTTAAAATAAATATATTATATTTTTCAGCCTTGTCCGTTATTGATTTCCTTTAAAATTATCCTGCCGAGAGACTAATCCACTGAACTATTGAATTGGCAGTTCGAGCCATAAGCTAACCCTTTAAAACCGAACAACACTGTTGTTATAATTATGATTATTTTCCTTAGTATTTGATGCATGCACTGATTTCGAAGGACCAAATTGTCTGGGATCCGACTAAAAACCTCCTAATGATGGTGGGTGGAGGCTTACTGGCAAGTCGAAGGGGCAATGCAATTTTTCAATACTGCCCTTAATGTTTATAGTCTTCCCTTTTATTAAATATAATAAATAATTAATAGTTAATAATCTATGAATATCGGAGTGAGTGTATGATAGAATGAATAGATGAGTGCTTGTTACGGACAAAAAATTGAAAGTCACAAGTGGGAGAGGTATGAAAGCGCAATTCAGTTGTTAAACAAAATACTAGCAACGAACGTTCCAGGCTATGCCATGATGACGTCACGACCACTATCGTCATGGTAACAAACATCAGCTTTGGAGAATTAGTGCGATAATATTTAAGGGCTGCGCTTCACGCAGAGCAGCTCAGTTTGCCTCAGTCTATTAATAATTACACAATCATTATAAAATGCACTATATATTTTCTACCACATCTACAGAAACCACGGTTTAATAATATATAATTAAGTATTAATTAAGTATCAATTAAGTATTAATCTACAAAGAAATAGTAACGTTTATTCTAAAATTATTAATAGTGTATTAGTGAGTATAAAACAATAGTGAAATATAAAATATATTAAAGCAACTCATATATAAGACAAGACCGATGTAACATAGGCTCGGCATTAATCATATCACTATTAAAACACATTATAGATAAGAGCGATGTATCATAGGCGCGGCATCAACATACTACTATTGAAACATATCACAGATAAGACAGACGTATCATAGGCGCGGCACCAAAGTATAACACAAATATCAACAATTTAATGTATGCTAAGATAGCATTTATTCATTATACAATAAAAGAAGAATACATTCATAATACGTAACAATAAAGGAAACTTTATATTTAATCTATTATATTATTTATACTTCATAATTAATTATTATTATTATTATATTCAATAAAGAAGCAAAGATAAACATTAAAGGTAGTCTTGAATAATTGCACTGTCCCTTCACTTGCCAGCAACACCTCCACCCACCATCAAAGGAGGTTTTAAAGTCTGATCCTAGACAGTGCTTCTTCAATAATGTTAGTAGCGATAAGTCTGTACGTGTATTCTTGATAGCCTGGAGGGTGATTCCCCTTCTTCCTTTGGGTTGAGTAGTTGTAGTGTATGGAGTGGTGGGAGAAGTGGGAGAGTGTTCTTTGGCCAATGTTTACAAAACAAATGTTCGCGCGCTCACACCTTTCCCACTTTGCATTCGGCTTAAAACTGCTGTAATCCGTAACATGAAATATGTTTATTATATTGTTTATCAATATAAGGTGATATAATTTTTTGTAAGTTTTGTTGTAACTGAATTTTATTTAGGTTAATATTCGTTTCCAGGTAAATCATATTAGTTTTATTATTAATTTGCACTTATTTTCAATAAGTTGTTATTAATGTCGGACACACACGAAGACATTGGTAATCGTGTCCGTTTCGTATTAGGTTATGTTTGAGAATAAGAGACTCCGTTTAGTAAGGCAATAAAATATCTGACAAGTAATGTCATGAAAATTGTATTTAAGACATCAAAACTTTCCTGCTCATAATTATTTGTACTAGTGTCATAAAACATCTGGAAAACTCTAGCGGAACGTGCTCATACTACCAGTGCAGTAGAACCTAATGGGTTTACTGCCGGGAGAACCCCAAAGTAGATTCGGAACGAATATCAGATATGCGTAAAGCATTGAGTACAAACATTTACTAAAACCCAAAACCCGTACGTGCAACAACATGCAATGACCATACGTGCGCACTCGGCCTTTAAGACAATGCTTGCATTGTTCTTGGCTATGCCACATCTGGTCGATCGTATTGGAAAATTGACCACGCCCAAGCGGACCCTTCTTCTAGCCAAGTCCCAGAGAGGGATGAGGCAACCAAAGAGAGGTGACCAATGGAAAAGGCTCGCCACCTTCCGACACTTTCCCAATTAGCAAATTCGGAACTGAGCCCGGAAGGAAGTGGAAATGAAGGCGTGCATAATCTATTGTGCGACCCAAGATCAACCTCTGATTGGTTAATTAATAAAGGAAGAAGGGATCCCAAGTGGAGCGGGATCAGTGAACCATTTAAGAAGGGACTACGTAATGTACCCTCACTTACTCTTTCCAAATACTTCTTACAGTGAAGGATAAGTCACGACCAACTCTCACGGAGGAGGACCGGAGAGATGAGTCGTTTAGCTAGCTGAGTTTTAATAATAAGTTCTTTCCACTATTGTGAATTAGTGTACAGTTGAATTGATCTCATCAAGACTGGATTGCGTGGGACCTGACCACTTGTGGTCTCACTTGGAGACAAGGAAGAACTGAAGGGTTGCAACATTGCAAGGGAACGTAATAACAAGCCATCGAAGAGAGACTGGAAAATCACGATACACTGCAAGTAAGTCCTTACAGCTAGTACTCATTCTTGATTTCTCGGCTTATGTAGAAGACGGACGGATAAAGTCCAACTACGGAAGCTTCCCGGACATACTCTTGAACAAGACCAGCTATAAACGCCACATTGGCTTCGCAATCCCTCCAACTGCAAGTTGTTCCAGCCACAGATGGCGCACAGCTTCGCATAACCTCCATCTCGGCTCTCTTACGACCGATATTTAAAGGCAACTACACACGTGTTAAGATAAACACAATGGCATTCCAGTGTTCGATCAGAGCTTAAGATAAACACAATAGCATTCCAGTGTTGGATCAGAGCATTACAATCACCATAACCTCTTAGTGATAATATTCAATAGATTATAACCTGCTTCATTCATAGTAAATATATTTCAACACCACAAGATTATCAAGAAATATAAAGTTCGTCTGTAATTCACCCTTTTGTAAATTAATTAAAATAAACAGAAATAATAAAGACATGTGTTAATTATTAATCAGTGCATTCACCCCTTACTTGCCCGGCAACCCCACATAACATCTAGTGGGTTTTATTGTTCTACGTTAATTATTGCACGTTTGGCTGACTAGGCAAATTGTGGGATTATTTTCCGAACAGGTTAATTTACCAAATTATTAGAAATAAAATCTGTTATAAATTGCCCATTATTGCACATTATGAAATTGAATTCGTATTTATAAAGTAACCATGGGATTTCTAGGGCTTTATGAGAAAAATGAATAAAATTGCTGAATGTAGTCATTTGGTAATTCAAGTGATGTACTATTCATATATCTATGTTATACTACATACTAACACTAATTTAATAGAAGAGTTCAACAGACGCATAAATAATCTTACATGAATAATAATATTATTATTATTAATATTATTATACACTGACTTTTTAAAAATAAATAACTCATAAATATAAACTAAATACTATCACTTTATTCTTCAAACAAAATTATTTAAAACTATAAAACGTATTTGTTTCTTTTCTAATTTTTGTCATAATAAATATCTAAAATATTTATAATTAAATATTTTTTTCAATAACCCAAATAAAAAGTTTGCGCGAATATAATTTTTTTAATTTATAATATCAATATTTATTCTATAAAAAAATCTTGATTGAAAATAAACATTTGAGTGAAATTATTTATTATTTTAAGAATTGAATTAAAAAAAAAGTAATTGTTATATATAGTTTTAAGTAAAAGTGTCACAATATATTCATATATAAATAATATAATTTTTTAAAAAAGTTACATATGTTATTTATCTTAATTTTAATTTTGACAATATGAAAAATAATTATTTAATGTTTAATAATATATGCTTATATAAAAATTAAATTACATTAGATCAATCAATTTTATTTAATACCATTACAATTATAAAATTGATTATTTCATAGAAAACTTATTCAAATGATTAATTATTCATTAAAATATATATATTCATTATATTTAAAAGTTCGAATAAAATTTCTATTTATCTGATAAATTTTATGAAATATTTTTTAAATTAATTCAAGTAAAATAATTAATTATGTAAATTACACAATCATTAAAAATTGTTACCGAACTTAAGGATTAATCTAACAAGGAATCAGCATTAGTGGCGTTCTTATTGGTTGTTATAAAATAAAAACTCGAAATTTTAATCGAATCGAAACTCGAATTACTTATGTGTCCCTCAGCCTTTATCTTCTGTCTACACTACCTCTAGTGCTCACCAGTGTCGCCAGTAGCGTAATATACTTGCGCCCCTCTTTCACAGTCTTCTCGAAGGAATTCTAATTGCAATCGTTCTTTTCCAGTGGGTCCGCCATTGTTGGCACACGTATATTTTTGAGTAGGTTTGCTGTAATCGGATAACATCTAAAATGGTACGTAGCAAATATAAGAAATACTTGAAACCGCGTTTGCCGAATGATCAATTATATATGAGATATAGAGTCTTTTGAGTCACGATTAACCGTTGATTCTCAAAAATCGGAAAACGACCGTTTGTTATAAATTGCGCAACTACTTCCATTCTTATCACCATATAATTTTCCATTTATCCTATAGTCATTATAAATTATATTATGATTCATTTATGTTCATGGATCGGTTTTTAAATTTTTTGTCATGCTAATAAACAATATGTAGAAATTTGTGGAAAAGCATACAAACTTGATTTTAAACAGCAAGATTCGTTTTAACCAGCCAGCTGTAAATGTTCGCAGCAATTTCATGAATTTAATTGTTTCCGTGTTTTCATTTTCATTCTTTTTTTTTTACATCGATATTAAGGTGTGAAAGTGATAAAATGAGTAATAGTTGACCATGTGGATGGCGGGAAGGTCTACTTTAACTTTACACGTGTTAGAAATTAAGATGGTTTTACCCGCCGTTAACTCAATTGTTAAAGGCAAACAGTACATTAAAAAAAAAAGGTCTGACGATATTTTGTATTAGTTTTGTACGGTTTCAAGAATTATGTTTAAAAATTAATATATTATTTAAAATTATAGTCACTAGATTGTAACTACTTTTAGGTGAATTTCACAGTAGATGAAATCCGTAGCATGATGGACAAAAAAAAGAATATTAGAAATATGTCTGTTATTGCTCATGTAGATCATGGAAAGTCAACATTGACTGACTCCCTTGTTTCTAAAGCTGGTATTATTGCTGGTGCTAAGGCTGGGGAAACAAGGTTCACTGATACCCGTAAAGATGAACAAGAGCGCTGTATTACCATAAAATCTACGTGAGTTAATTAATAATTTATTTTTTATATTGTAGGATTTTATTGTTATTTGTACATTAAATTGTGGATATAATATATTTAGGGCTATTTCTATGTTCTTTGCACTTGAAGAGAAAGACTTAATTTTTATTACAAACCCTGATCAACGTGATAAAGATGAGAAAGGTTTTTTGATTAATCTTATTGATTCCCCTGGACATGTAGATTTTTCCAGTGAAGTCACAGCTGCTCTTCGTGTAACTGATGGAGCTCTTGTTGTTGTTGATTGCGTTTCTGGTTAGTGAGTAGGAATAATTTTATAAAATTAAGAATTTAAAATATAAAAACTTAGAGATTAAATTGTTTAGATAAAAATGTAAGTGTAAACATGAGAAATTAAAAAAAATATTTTTTTAGTAATTTAGTATAATTAGTAATTTTATAATTTAATGTTTTTCATCCTTTCAGTTAAATTATTCTAATTTTTCTTATATTTATCTGTTTATTAAATTGTTTATAGTAAATTATATTTATTTTAATGTAATCTTTAAAATAATTTATGTATTCTATCAGGTGTATGTGTACAAACTGAAACTGTATTACGTCAAGCTATTGCAGAACGTATTAAACCAGTTTTGTTCATGAATAAAATGGACCGTGCTTTGTTGGAACTTCAATTGGCTAGTGAAGATCTTTATCAAACTTTCCAACGTATCGTGGAAAATGTTAATGTTATTATTGCTACATACTCTGATGATGATGGGCCTATGGGTGAAGTTCGTGTAAGTAAATTCTGATAATAAAATTGAAATATTTTATTATCTATATTTTAATTTGTGATAATAATTTATTTACAAATCTGTTTTGAAAATATTTGACTGAAAATACCCAATTAAACAACAGAATTGATTATACAGAAATATTAAAATTAATTTTTCCTTATTTTAGGTGGATCCAAGTAAAGGTTCTGTTGGTTTTGGCTCTGGACTTCATGGATGGGCTTTTACTTTGAAACAATTTTCAGAGATGTATGCTGAAAAATTTGGTATTGATGTAGTTAAATTAATGAACAGATTATGGGGAGAATCGTTTTTTAATCCTAAATCAAAGAAATGGAGTAAACAAAAGGAACAAGACAATAAACGTTCCTTCTGTATGTATGTCTTGGAACCTATTTACAAGGTTTGTATTAAGTTATTTTAAAACTGAAATAGTTCTTCTGGCACATTGGCGTCTCTCTTCAGTGTAGAAAAGGTTTTTTTTTTATTAAAGAAACCAATTCATACACAATGACAGTGATGACATTGCATTAACAGAAGAAAATTAAAAATGTAACATTGTTAAAAAATATCATTGAGCCTCTATCTTTATGCTCTATAGTGATATCCTATAACATCGAAACTACATTATATTTAAAATAGAAAATTATGGTACAGATATTAATATTTAATTAGTTTTGAAAATATAAATTTATTTATTTTATAGGTTTTTGATTGCATAATGAATTATAAAAAAGATCAGTGTGAAGATCTTCTTAAAAAACTGGGAATTGTTCTTAAGCCCGAAGATAAAGATAAGGATGGAAAAGCTCTTTTAAAGGTGTTGAATTTATTTCAGGATATAATTTATACAAAATAAAAATGAGCATATTAAATATTATAAAATCTTTACTTAATCAATATATAAAATGAATAACTTTTTAGGTTGTCATGCGAACTTGGTTACCTGCTGGAGAAGCTTTGCTTCAAATGATAGCTATCCATTTACCATCTCCAGTTACAGCCCAAAAATACAGAATGGAAATGTTATATGAAGGACCTCTGGATGATGAAGCTGCTATTGGTATCAAGGTGATAGCTTTTCATTCATTAAAAAACAAATTTAATTTACTTAATATTTAGATGATGATTGTTCATTCACAGACCTGTTCTGAAAAATTTTGACAGATTTAAAGAACGGCCAACTGATAATTTAAAAATATTTCGTATTTATAACTTATTTAAAAATTAACAAAATTGTAATATTAATTTTCTTTTTAGAATTGTGATCCAAATGGACCTCTTATGATGTACATTTCAAAAATGGTACCTACATCCGATAAAGGTCGATTTTATGCCTTTGGTCGTGTATTTTCTGGAAAAGTTTCTACAGGAATGAAAGCTCGCATTATGGGACCTAATTTTCAACCAGGTAAAAAGGAAGACTTGTATGAAAAAGCTATTCAGCGTACAATTCTTATGATGGGACGATATGTTGAAGCTATTGAGGATGTTCCTTCTGGTTAGTTATATTTAAAACAAAATTAATCAAATATACATTTATAATATGTTTTATACATTAATTATAAAAATATATTTAAAAATATTCATTCATTTCAGGAAATATTTGTGGTCTTGTTGGTGTGGATCAGTTTTTGGTAAAAACTGGAACTATTACAACATTCAAAGATGCTCATAATATGAAAGTCATGAAATTCTCAGTTTCTCCTGTTGTTCGTGTAGCTGTAGAACCTAAAAATCCTGCTGATTTACCAAAATTAGTAGAAGGTATTATTAATTTATATAATTGTACAATTTTATTTTAAATTTTATAAATTTAATTGATGAAAGTTTTTTTTGAGCACTGGGTTATGAAATATCGTGATTATCATTGACAATCTGAAAAATAATTAAAAGTTTATAACATATGAAATAAATTACAATATTTTTTAATAAAACTATTTTATTTACAGGACTTAAACGATTAGCGAAATCAGACCCAATGGTGCAATGTATTATTGAAGAATCTGGAGAACATATTATTGCTGGGGCAGGTGAATTGCATCTTGAGATTTGCTTAAAAGATCTTGAAGAAGACCATGCATGTATACCCATAAAGAAATCAGATCCAGTAGTGTCTTACAGAGAGACTGTTTCAGAAGAATCAGACCAAATATGCTTGTCTAAGTCTCCTAACAAACATAATCGTTTATTCATGAGAGCACAGCCGATGCCGGATGGTCTTGCTGAAGACATTGATAATGTATGTTATCAAAACTTATTATTTTGACATATTTAAAAATTATCGATTTTTTTTAGAGATACAAAAAAAGATGAAAATATATATATATATATATATATATGTATATATATCGTTTCTATTACTTTAATTAATATTATTTTGTATTTTAGGGTGACGTCAATCCAAGAGATGATTTCAAGATACGTGCTCGTTATCTAAGTGAAAAATATGACTATGATGTAACAGAAGCCAGAAAAATCTGGTGTTTTGGCCCTGATGGAACTGGACCAAATATTCTTGTTGATTGTTCAAAGGGAGTTCAGTATCTTAATGAAATCAAAGATTCAATGGTTGCTGGTTTTCAATGGGCTGCAAAAGAAGGTGTATTATCTGAAGAAAATCTGCGAGGTGTGAGGTTTAACATTTATGATGTTACATTACATGCGGATGCTATACATAGAGGTGGAGGACAAATTATTCCAACAACAAGACGTTGTCTTTATGCTTGCCTTCTCACTGCTTCTCCGAGACTAATGGAACCAGTTTATCTTTGTGAAATACAAGTAAGCATTTATATACATGGATATTTTCTGTTTATTATAAACTTATTGATTAAAATTAAATATAAATTTTCAATAAGTTATTAAAAAAAAAACCAATATAGTTATAATTTAAGTATTGATGTTGAATATGTTCTAAATAATCAATATTTTCAATTTTCTAATATATGAATAAAATTAAAATATTGTTTTATAATAATATAATAATATAATAGTGCTAGAACAGCAACTACAAATATAATATTTATAATATTATAGAATAAATAAAAATGTCTTATGCACTATTAAATATGTTAATCTATAAATAGTTTTCCTTATTAATTGTATTATGTTCACGATTAAGTTTATGTTAAAATTTATTTATCAAGTAAAAATTAATTACTTGATTTTAAAAATCATTTTAGAAATTTTTATTTGAAAAATAATTATAGCAATTAAGAATTTATATTCTTAATAGATAGGCAATAGATACATTGTAATAAAATGGTTCAGTTTATATATTAGTAACAAATTTAAAATGTGTATATATTTCATTAAATATAAAAAATATTTATACAGTTTTTTCCAAATAGTAGTCTGTAAAAATAAAATACTTTAACGATATTGCGGTAATCTACATAATTTTTTCATTACTAATTCTTACATTTTGTAAACCATAATTATTATATTCAAAAGTAATTTCGATGTTAAAAATGTTTAATGTTTTATTTATTACATGCCTTAAAAGAATGTATAAATCTTAAGAAATATATTTGGTCTGGTAATTTTTAATAAAAATAATTATTAAAATTCTTGAGTAACAAATTTTTGTGTGTATCCATTGAGAATATCACAGATTTAGTATAAAAATAATGCATTAAAAAAATTATTATTTGTAGTGTCCAGAAATTGCAGTAGGTGGCATCTATGGTGTACTCAATCGTAGACGTGGACATGTCTTTGAGGAGCAACAAGTGGCTGGTACCCCTATGTTCGTTGTAAAGGCATATCTTCCGGTCAACGAATCCTTCGGTTTTACTGCCGATTTACGTTCTAATACAGGTGGTCAAGCTTTTCCACAATGTGTATTTGATCATTGGCAAATTCTCCCAGGAGATCCTTTGGAAAGTGGAACTCGTCCATACCAAGTCGTACAGGTAATTAAGTCATTCATATTTTAATTTTGCCCACAGTCATAACTAATGATTGGTCGTTTGTGATCATATCATTTTTAAACTTGTGGGAAAGAAATTTTGTTTTTTAAGTTTCTGCTTCCCAATTCTTATTTTGGTTTGCCGGAATAGGGAAACATACAATATTTTGCATTTAAATAGTTTAGTTCTTAAATCTTCATAAATAGTTTTGTGTCTTAATAAATAAATGAAATATTTTATTTTAAAAAATTAAAACACATTTCAGAATAATTTTAAAATTAATCTATGTTTGATTGATATAATCAATGTTTTCTATTTTGTATCTGTTAAGCATTAATAGATTTTTCATTTTTTTTTAAATATTTGATGGTTATTTATACTAAATTAAATTCTCGCTTTTTATTATAACATTTGATCATATTTAATTAGACTTTTTAATTTATATTTAATTTATGTTGAATATTAATAATATGAATTTTGAATTTTCAGGATACTCGTAAGAGAAAGGGTTTGAAAGAGGGCTTACCAGATTTGACTTCATATCTTGACAAATTGTAACCATCATGAATGCACGCATTATATTTAAATAATTATTTAAATATTCAATTATTATTGATGGAGCTGTATACGTCTCTACCAACGGTCGTTATATGAACTTTGTTCCTCCGCGCATTACCGTGGAAAATAAAAATTATAAATATTACAAAAAAAACGAAGAGCTATAATAAATTGTAATTACAGAGAAGAGTTGAAGAAAGAACTTACTTTAGCACGGGAAATACTATTTTATACATTTATTTAATTGAAGTGAATATTAATCGCTGTGGCATATCTTAACAAAGCCATTGGCTTTGTTTAAAAAAAATTTATATACAATATTGAAAAACGTGATTGTATTAATTTAAATTTTTTTTTTTTTTTTTTTGTTACTATTTACCCTATTGTCCTTTTACGTTTTTCCTTTTTGATTGAATAAAATAGACGTTTCTATCAATTGTGATAAAAATTGTTTTTGATTTTTGAACGAATATTTAATATTATATATGAAAAAAAGTCAAAATAAGTGGTTTAAATAATGTTTTTAATAAACTCATATAATTAAAGGTAATATTGAAAATTAATGTTCTTTTAAAAAAAATTTCTAAGGCAGCTACATAATTAACTTACTTTGAGTTTCAGACTTCAGAACTTTTAAATAAATGTATCTTCATAGTTTGAAAAACATGATCTTGTAATATATGAATTATTTACATTATTATTTTAATTTCAAAATTATAATTATGATATTCATCTTTAAAAAGCAAAATATTTAATAATAAATTAAAAAATTTTTAAATTTATGGAACAATAATAGATGTTTATTAAATCGAATTGATGGTACTTTAATATATCCCTGCTAGTGATTCAGCAGCCAAAAAGATATCTTGTATATTCTAGTTAATTTACTATACCATTCAGTATGTGAAACCTAAAAAATTGCTATTCATTTATCTATAAAGTTAATAAAGTCAACAAATATAATTAAATCCATTTTTGTATACATACTAAATGATAATACTGCTGTCATAAAATATTTTATATTTAATTTTTTTATTTTACAAAAGGATATTTTCAATTTGAAATTTTTATTAATATTGACTGCATAGAAATTCATTAAAAATAAATTTTACCTGCAAATTAGAAGCTATAAAATTACCAATGGTTATCGTTAGAATAATATCTGGTATTGATTTTTGGTGTTTTGTTATTATTGATTATTATATTGATTATTGATATTTAAATAATTTTACTATATACACAAGTCATTTGTGTAAAAATTTGTAAATTTAAATGTCTTGTGATCTTCAAGAATAATTACTCCCAAGTCACCATTTTTCTTGATTAACTTCTAATAAGAAATTTTTTATATAATTAGAATACTATTTGGAATAAAATTGTTTCGTGTAACAGTTATTTTTTCTCGAGCTGCTTTGACTCCTGCAGCAAAGCCAATTGGCTCAATCTCATCAAATGTTGTTTCAATTTTACTTCCACTATTTTGTAAAAAAATTATTAATTCATTGAATTGATTATTAAAATTAATGTATATGTTTACCTACAGTATAATATAAATAATAAAACAATTTTTTAGGATGAAAAATAACTTATTTGAATTGATTTTACAATAAGGTCAAACTTAAGATATTGAATAAAATCTAAAAATTATAGAGAAATTTAATGTACTAGAATTATAAAATTACTTTAAAAATTTGTTATGTATTAATTTAGTTTTCAGTTTAAATAATTTTTCTTATTAAGATTTTATACAAGGTTAAATTAAAATTATAAAACTTTATAAAGTTATTTCTTTAAAAATTAAATTGTTAAAAAATATACTGTAATTAAATTAACTGATTATATATATTTTATTTATATACCATACTTATGGATGATTTTTATGTTGTAAGTTTGAACAAACTATTTTTTATTTGTTTTTAAATAATTAACCGGAAAAGTAAACTACAATTTTTAAGTAAATTTTAATCTGTTATATCTTTTTATGTTATACTTTATTATTTTTTTCAATTTACAGATATTGAAATTTTGTGTAAAAAATACTTATTGTAGTGTTATTACTTATACTCACTATCAGTGGCATTTACAAAAACATATTGGAAAGCTTCACTTATACGAGCTATTTTAGATTTTTTGTCAATTGCTACTATTACTTCGTCTCCACTCAAATTTGAAATATATAAATTAACATGACTCATAAGTGGATAATTTTTTAATATATTTTTTTAAATATATTAAAATTATATTTTAGGATTTTAAATTTATGTAAAAAATTTTTTAATTTCATTGGAATAATTTTTGATAATACATAAAATATTTAAAAATTAGATAATATCAAAATAGTATAAATATATTTTACATTAAATTAAACTTTAAATATTTAATGATAAAATTTGCTAAAACTAAAATATTTACAATAATTAGATCATGTAGATTAATATCTAATGTAATTATTTCATTTTGAATAGATAAATACAGTAAAATAAAATAAATAATTTTGAAACTAATATATTTAAATACAGAAATGAGTATATCATTTATTTTTTTAATAGTTTTTAACTTTAGAATTGAAAAGATACATTATTATTTAAATGGTTAATTAATTTTTTTATTAAAAATTCTTCATTTACAATATATTAATGCAATTTAAATATAAGTACAATTGCTTTTAAAAAAAAGTGAAAATATACTTACAAATAAATTGACCCATTTGTGGATCAAGTGTGAACATTGTAAATAATAGAAGATACACTAACCAACTATTAAAGTATTGTTAAGAGTTGAAAATTCTGACTTTTTTCGATGAATTCGATCCCTGATTCCTCGTTCAACTCGTCAATCATATCGTTAAGCGACACTAGACAATTACTTTGTTAATTATTGCAATTTAATTTTAGGTCAGCATTAATATAATACGTTAGTTAATTGCAAATCTGAACCTGCTAAAGCGCAAAATGCAGATATATAAATACAAATAAATATGTTTCATTATACTCGTATATCACATAAACGATAATATCAACGCGAATCCATGTGACAAGTCTTTTATGCAAAAAAATATTTTGTGTCGATCTTTTGTGAATGCGCCATTACCATATTAAAACACCGTTGCAAGGATAGCTTGTTTTTCATATCAACAGATGGGTAGTTTTTATCTCTTACTTAGTTTTTTTGGAATTTTTATTAATATAAACAGAAGTTTTCAAAAAACTTATTATACATTAAGTATAAAATATATACTTAAATAAAAAATTGCAAATTCTATGAAATAAGTAAGTATCTGTAAAATATAATTTTATTCAGATACTAAAAAAATATATATTATTCATGTACAATGGTATTCAATACCTCAAATAACATCATAATTTGTAACTTCAATCGGAAGATTTGTTTTTATTTGCTGATTATTGTCATTATTAATAGGTAAATCTTTATAATAATAGTGTTGTACTCGGAAACGAGATAAGGCGAAAAAGAAAATTAGGTTTGACAGCTTAGTAAAAATGGCTGACAATAACGAATTTCCGCCCCTTAGCAACGATGGTACGAAAAATGATATAGATGATGATAATGTATTTGCTTCTGCAATCCAGGTAATACGTAAGATCAACAGTTTTTATTAATACCAAAATTTACGTGTTAACTTTGTAAAAGAGAATTTGATAAGATATTCCATTTTTATAAATTTGATTACCTTGTAAGTGATTTATTAAAATATTTCTTATATTAATTCAAACATTTTAATATTTGTACTTAAATCATACTAGGTTCATAATTGTATAAAAGTAAAAATTAAAATGCTTTTATCCAAAGATTTTGATTAATAAGCAATGTCTATTCTTATAATATTTACAAAATCATAAGAATAAATCATTATTCATAATTGTTTTATAAAGGAATGTTTTATTTAAAAATATATATACATAAACTATAACTTATATAAAATGTTAGAATTAAGAAGTATAATATAAAATTATTCAAACTATTCATTACATAAACCTATATACTTAATTTTAATAACTTACATTTAGGAACATAATGCTCAAGAAAATACTTCATCATATAATGGTGAATCAACTATTTATGCAGAACTACCAAAATTATCATTGAGAGATACTGTATCAAATAATTCTATTTCAATTCATTCAAATCCTGCTGATCTTTCAGATTTAGTTATTCCTATTCTAGATCCAATGAATATTGATATTGATGATTTACATGACGTTCCAATTAGTGATAATTTAATATCTAATAATATAAAAGCTGAAATAGTGGATGAGGTATTTTATTTGTAATACTAATTTCCTAATTTTATTAAAATATTTTTAACAATTTATATCTTATTTTATAAACAAAATTTTAATTTAGAATGTTGATAAATAAAATGAAATATAAATAATTATATATAATATTTTATATAAACAAAATTATTTGTAACAAAATTTTATTTTTATATATAGATTATATTAATAATAAATTGTTAACAAAACTTTATTTTTATATATTAATTTGTTACAGATTAAACATATATATTTAGATAAGTATTTTAAAAATTTTTTAGGTATCAAATGAATATCCAGATATTTTTATTGAAATTATTGTTGCTTCACCACAGAAAGTAGGTGATGGAATTGGAGCATATGTTGCTTATAAAGTTGAAACCAAGACTAACATACAAATATATAAAAGAAGTTGTTTTGGTGTAAATAGACGCTTCAGTGATTTTCTTGGTTTACATGATAAACTTACAGAAAAGTATTTACGCAATGGTAGAATTATACCTCCTGCTCCTGAAAAAAGTGTTATTGGTTAAAATTATTATTTTATAATTAAATTAACATTATTACAAACTAATTATATAAACTTTTATTATATACTTTTAGGTACAACTAAAATAAAAATGTCAGGAGAAAAATGTCAAGAACAAAACTACGGTTCTTCAGAATTCCTTGAGCGACGTAGAGCTGCATTAGAAAGATTTTTAAATAGACTTGCAGCTCATAATATCTTTCGATTAGATCCTGATTTTAAAGAATTTTTAGAAGCAGGTAATCTTATTTTCTTATAAACATTATTATATTGCTTAATTTTGGTTTTAAGTACTCCATATCTGAAAAAATAAAATTAAATAAAGTAAAGATTAGTATAAAGTATTTTACAATAGACATGAATTTTCAGATATAGAATTACCTAAGGCTACTAATACGTGTGCTTTAAGCGGTGCTGCAATGATGAGACTATTCAATAAAGTTGGAGAAACTGTAAATAAGATTACTTATAAAATGGATGAAAATGATACTGTAAGATTTAATTTCTACAGTATTTCAAAATTATAAGCAATAAAATAGTTTTTAACGTTTAATTTTATGAAAGTTTTATTATTTCAGTGGTTTGAAGAAATGGTTAATCACATTGACTCTCTTGATATTCAACTTCGTAGCTTACATGAATCAGTAGAAACCTTAACAAATCAAAGAAAGGAATTAGCAATTTGTACAGGTTCTACAGCTCGATCTATAGCAGTTCTGGGACATGGTGAGCCTGGAGCTTCTCTCGGCAGAGCTTTGGCACAATTAGCTGAAACATTGGAAAAAATTGAAATAGTTAGAAAAGCCCAAGGAAATAGTGATCTTTATCAATTTGGTGAAATAATACGTGATTACGTAGCTCTAATTGGAGCAATTAAGGTAAATCCACTTGTATCAATGTCTGATAAATAAATATACAACTGTAAAATAAAATATGTTGCTTGGTCTTACATACATAATATAGATTAGGTAGTCAATATTGTGCTACAATTAAGAAAATCCCTTTGCAAACTAAAAGGCCAAGATGCAAACTTGACCATTTTTTTTAAGTTCTCTTTTATTTTACGTAATTTTGTTTAAAAAATTAGCATCTATGATTGTTAAGTATTTGGTTATTGATCAAAGTTTTCAATATTTAAACTAACTTCTTTGGGAATAACACAATAAATAAGAATAATAAATTTCTCTTCTTAATGTCAGAACTCATATCTATATATATATACATATATATATATATTTTTTTTTAATTATTAATTGAATAACGTAAATAAAAAATATAAAAAAGGATATGATATTAGAAGTACAATTAAAAATATATGTATGGCAAAAACTAAAATCTGGATTCATTGACGAAATGTTTATTTTTTTGTGATCTTCATTACTTTTATCTAATAATAATAGTGATTTTTTCAAGTTATTGAAAAATATTTTATTTCTTATTATTTTCTTTCTTATTAATTTCAGCATATATTTAGAAGTGCTGATAAGATATATTAAAAATGTTTAAAAAATATATATATTTGTATATTTTGTGAATTAAATTATATAAATATAGCTTAATTTATTTAGACATATTTTTTATTTTAATGAATTAATTAATTTTACACTTTGAAAGAATTAATAATTGAAAACAAATATTTTATTTAAAACCACAGATATGTATTTTTCTCAGTTGATAATTTTTATTAATTAAAAAAATATATATATTTATTTAAATAAAAGTAAGATAATAACATAAAATATTTTCATTACAATTTTGTTTATATATTTAAATAAATATAAAATTCTAAGAATTTTATATAACCTGCCTTTAAAATAAATTTAATGCCCTAAATTATATCAGAAAAATAAGATAAAATATACTACTATTGAAAGATACATGTAAATTTTTTTAATTATATATATGTATACATAACAATGTACAAGTTAATATATTGAAATAAGTTATGGACTGTTCAGTCATTTTGATTCTTTTATACTATTTCTTTTATACTATGAAAAATATTTTAAAACAATTGTTTACATTTATTAGGATGTTTTTCATGAACGAGTGAAAGTTTTCCAGAACTGGCAACATGCACAAATTATGTTAAATAAGAAGCGTGAACAAAAAGCACGTATTGAACAGTCCAGTCGCTCAGAGAAAACTAGTCAAGTGGCCACTGAAGTCATTGAGTGGGAAGCAAAAGTTGATAGAGGTCAGGAAGAATTCAACAATATTTCAAAAATGATAAGAATAGAGGTGGAACGTTTCGAAATAATACGAATACAAGATTTTAAGAAACAACTTATACAATATCTTCAAATGATGCTGCAGCATCAATATCAGCTTATCAAGCACTGGGAGAGTTTTCTCTCTGAAGCGAAGACCATTGCCTAAGCAAATATATAAACATTATAAACTACACTGGACTGTAAGTACATGAAAACAAGAGAAAATAAAAAAAGTAATTCATTGTGAATTTATGCTAATAGCACTTTTTAAATTATCAAAATATTATATTTAACATGTTATAGCAAGATTTAACCTTTTTAAAAATTGATTCTGTCATTTTTTTATTTTGTGATGTATTGTGTGTATACTAATTTTTATTCATGATGTATTTTGTTTTTCTGAAAGTTATACATATGTACACTTAAGAGAATTTAGTAATGAATATGTTCAGTAAGTTTTTAGTTAGAATTGTTGAAGAATTTTTCATATTTGAAAATGTATTTGAATGATTTATTTATTTAGTTCTACACTGTACATATGAAAAATAAATTTCTGTAATTTTCATAACTTCTAAATAAAGTAAGATAGTTTAAAAACTTGTATATTTAATTTTAAAACATTGTAAAAATAAAATCAATAATTTATTACGAAAATAACATTTTTAATAAAATATTTAATAAGAAATTTATTCTACATTTTTTGTTTAATATTTATATGGTTATATTAGTTAATAAATAATTTAATTATATAATAATGAACAGATTATGTATTAAAATTGAATTGTTTAAATATTTTAAATAAAATAAATATTGCTTATATATTGTTTATATATCTATTCTTCTATTAAACAATTATTAAAATATACTAATTTTTACTAAAATCTTAAATAAGCGAAATACAGTAGCAAATGCATTTAAACTTTTATAAAAGTTTAAATGTTAAATATAATTGAAATGATACTTAAACAAGTTCATAAATTTATTAATTATAATCACATTAATTTAAATAATTAGAAAATGAAATATATATATTTGGAGGAGAAGATTTATACATTAATTAACAAGTAACAAATATTTTTAATGTACTCCTCTGCTATTTATTAATTCTGTAATGTGTAAAACTGGTGCGCAGAAATAGACCAGTTAGAATTTAGAAATATTTTTATTCATTTACACTGTGTGTAATGGATCAAATCAAGGACTCAGAATTACTATTAATATTTATGAAATATGTACATTCTAATAGTATATATAAAAATAAATCTCAGAATGACTTTATTTTCATGTAAAGAATATTATTTTTAAGGAAATAAGTAATGGTATAAATCGAAATAGAAAGAAGAATTAAAAGTGATAAACTAGCATTAAGAGAATGTGTAATTAAGATAAAAATTTAATTTTAAAATAATATTTCTACCAATATTAAACTTCAAATTTATTCAGTACATAAACGAATAACATTTAACTAAGTTTGTAACTAAATTTAATTACATGGCGACTCGAATAATTACCAACATAAGCGAAAGGAATTATGAAATGCGAGATATATAGAGTCGATAAATGAAAATAAAAAAACTATAAAAAGGATATACCAGCGAAGATTTGAATACTTTTAATCAAAAACTGTTTTCATATTTTATTAGTAACGGTTTTTCAATTTAATTTTGTTTTGCATAAATTCACTATTATTAGCGATGAAGTAGTGAAAGATTCCCAATCAAAGTTTACTATCGACACTATTTTATGGCTAAAAACCTATTGATAAAAGTCTTACAATTAATTTTTAATTATTTATTTTGTATTTTCTTTTTATGATACACCATTCTTAAAAAGCCTAAAATTGTTTTTTATCCTTTTTTATTCCACATTTTTCACTTCATGAGTACCTTAACTACCTATATGCATTTTAACAAATTCTGCTTGGAGGTTGGCTGCCTTTTTGACAATACGGTTATATTAATATTTATTATCTAACTTTTAATGTTTTAAATTTTAAACTGAATATTTTATTTGTTTTTTTATTTATAAAATAATTTTTAGAAATTCGACATACAAATGAATGTAAAGGAAATTACAATCTATGTATCCAATAATAAATGGTATTGTTAAATCCTTTATAATATAATATATTGGTTTTTATTTTATAGTTATAATTAAGTTATTATTTTAAGTTATAAGTAATAACATTTATTTATCGATGTTCAAAAAATTTGTGAAGTTTGTACTAAATCTTTTTCGTTATTTACAAGATTTGAATATTTATAAAATAACATAAATTTTGATACTTTTTACTTAATCTTATTGGATGATAAGTACTTGCAATTTTATATTTTATCAAAATCTCATTATATTTAACATTTAACATGGAACTTATAAATTCTTGATAATCCTAAAAATATTTCTTTACTAATATGTAAAAAATGTTAGATAATAACATTTTTTAAATACGCTGTATATAATTCAATAATCTGATTGTTACTAAAATTTATTCATTTTGTTATTTATTCATACGATTTTAGGATTATTAATAATTAAAATAATAGTCATATATAATAAATAAATTAGACACAGAAGTATTTTCCTACTAATAAAGCTTTTCCTAAAAAAAGTATTTTAGTTTTATTATATATATATATATATATACTCGTATGTAGATAAACACATATTTTTCTATTAAATAAGATCTTCCTAATATATGGAATTAAATGTGATAGACGTAGGAAACATTTACTATTACATCATTGCTTCATGAATAACTACAATAACTAAAAAATTTATATAATATATTATGTATCTCCATAAACAATGTATTATAATCTAATGAAAATGATAATTCAATTAAATAACATTTTTTTATTAAATTAAGCTTTACAATGTACAAATTCAAACAACTATAATACATTTTTCAATATTAGAACATTACTAATATGAAATTTAAATAAATGATTAAAATATTAAAAATATCATTACTGTAAAATATGCCTGATATATCTTTAAAACATGCAAATATAGTTATAATATAATAAAGTGATAAATTCATATTTTAATATAAAATTATAATATTTAGGTAATACATATTTGATGTTTCAGATATTTTACATCAATAATTAAAAAATAGTATATATAGATGTCGAACTAAATGTTAAATTAAAAAATAGTCTATTTAGATGTCAAAATTAATGGTAAATTAAAAAATAGTGTATATAGACGTTATAATTATTATTTACGTGTAGTCTTTTTATACTTAACACACGCGTCTCTTGCAATTTATGGTCATACAATAATATCATAATTATCTTGATATTCATCAATTTATATTCAAATCAGCTATGTACTTTTAAGTGTAATTTAAATTTTCACAGATTTATATACTATATGCTTTTATTATTATCATTGATTTCTATCATTGATAAATTAGTTGATTTACATCCATGCATTAAGAATCACTTGTGTCACTGGTTTTCAACAACTATTTTTACAAATCATCAGAGACTGCAGAAATTATTTACAATTTGGTTTTCAATAGATCCTATAAGTTCAAATTACATTACAGCTTATTAATAGAGTACGTTTGATAAAAAGTTTTTTACTTAAACTATACGTATTTGCTAAAATTATTTGGTCCAATTAAATATACTCAATATGTTCTTAGTTCACTTTATTTTATACTTTACACTAAATGTATGAAAGAATCTTTTCATAAAAAAATATTGTAATTATTATTTTGTAAGTATCAGCATAAAAACTTTAGGATGTAAGTTAAAGGAATATGTTGGCTTGAGTAAAAGTGACAGACTGTCAGAAGTTCAAAAAATTATTATTATTTGTAAATATAAAAAATTGAAGGTTTATATTGTTTTATTTAATATTAGGTAAATATAAAAAAGTATTTGTTTTATCTATTGTACAGTACAATTTACGATTATCTTTGAAAGTATATGATCTTCCAAATTCAAGCATAAAAAAGAGAAAAAAACATTTACTTTATTATTTATTAAGATATATTAAAAAAAAAACTTAAGGCTGTAAGTTTACTGGAAATGACGATGATAATAGACTTCTTAGGAAGGAGTATGCCCCTTGAAATGTAAACAACATGGCCTCTGATAATGTTGTAAAGATTAGCAAAGACATGCACACACTCATTGAAAGGACGTGTGGCAATGAAATTCTAATAGCGTTAGTCCACACTCCTTGAAAGGACGTTTGGCGAATTAAAAACTATTTTTACTCACAGCTATACCGTTGCCTTTGCCTGATCCTGTGATGAATAGTTACTTGGAAGAAAGACTACTGGCATACCTTCGTGATAAGGAATACTTCGATACCATGCTTTTTGTAGTCGTATATTTTCTTGTAATGAAGTCAGCACCCTTGACTGCTTGTAAACTGTTGCACACTTGAAAATTGAACGTGTGTTCCTTGTAATAGCTTCACTGAGAAAGCGTAACCGAGTGAGTAGCTTATGGCTGTCAACTTTGGCTGAATAGCGTAAATGACTGATAAACAGACTGACTGGTTGAATTACAACGAGCCCTTAAGTGTAGTGTGTTTCCTTTAAATATCCATGCGGCACCTTACTTATGACATTCGAGACTAAATCTTAAGAAGTTTTGAGAACTCCGAGAAAGCAATTCTTTAGAACGTGGAGAATTCCAACTGACGTTGTTATGCGGAGGCCAGATAAACATTATAGGACGTTCGAAAGTAAAGCTTTAGAATATTCTATAATTCGGAATCAATTGTTTACAGAATTCGAGGCTTATACCTTTCCGAGAAAGGAAAATGCTCCAATTTCGAACCAATGTAAAATATTAAAAAACATTTGTCTTTGAATATTCTATTAACTAAAGTGAGAAGTAAGATATATTAAATGATGAATTTTTATTCTAAGTTGCTGAAAAATTTTGAGAATCAGCGTAACATATACAAAAAGGAAAAGTGAACATAGGTACGCGACATATGACCAGTGTTAAATCAAATTTCAGCTTGTTTTATATTAAAGATAGCTTAAAGAAGCTTGATAAAGATCAAATTAATCTTTTACTGATTTACACGATTTACAAAATACTATTCTGTTTTTATACTCGAATGAAATCGAGTGTTTCTTTTGTTTTTTTAAAGATATTAATAATCGATTTGACAGATTATATTACAGATAGATTATTTAGCATCAATGTTATTATTTTAATTATTGTATATTAAAATATTTTACAACGTACATTTTTCACAGTCCACTTTTTTAGTTCTTACAATTTATATTAAATTTTATTTTGAAAAGTTTAGAACATATTTTATTTTATCTATGGTTAAGTTAACCAATTATTTTTTCTTAAAAGTGAATTTCGTGTTAATATAAATATATTATTTAATGAAATTGCTACTTATGCTTTAATTTTGATTTTATCTTTTTCCTACGTTTGTGTCATTATTCTCGATAAAAACTCATAACATACATTGTCGAGATGCGACTTAATATTTCATAATACTACAAAGTATAACAATTATATATACAAAAAATACAAACTATAAAAAATAGTTTTAATATTTTTCTATATTCGAAAATGTCATCTGAATTTTTTTGGATATTATTCATTTATTAAACAGATAAAAACACCATCAATAGAAAAGCATACCTTTATTTGGCTATAAAGATAATAAATGAATTCAAATAATAATAAAAAATAACAAATATTTAATATGTTTAAAAACTTACTATGTACCAACTATATATTCTATGATTAAATATGAATACAATTTTAAAAATTAATATTTTCTAGCAAGTTACCAACAGAATTGCAATAAAAGATCGTATTATAATAAATACTAAATATTTAAATATATCAATTTAATAAATTTAATAAAAATAAAATTGTTTGTTTTCTAAATTGAGTTTATGCTGATGTTGTAAGGATCAGCATGGGAAGATGGTAATGGTGATGGTAATGGTAATGGTAATCAATAAGACTTCGCAGGGAGAGTAAGCATGCTTAATAGGAGAGAATACGGTATTCTCTGCGGTAGTTTTTACGTAAGTCGACCATACTCCAAAGGAAGTATGGGAGTATTAGAGAGTTAGTCACATGCAAAAATAATAAATGATAAACAGGTCCTTCGAGGACGGAAGGATTTAATAATAGATAGTTATAGTGAATTATTTGAGATGGAAAGGTGAAAGAACGTTCTCTGGTCTGGTTGGCCTGAGAGAGAGTGTTGCTCCACCTGTCTTGACTGTAGCTGGGTCAAAAAACGATCTCCGGCCTGGTTGGCCTAAAGGAGCGTGTGGCTCCACCTGTCTTGACTATAGTTGGATGAAAGCACAATCTCCAGGCTGGTTAGACTGAGAGAGCGTGTTGCTGCCACCCTTCTTGGTAGACTTTATGTGAAACGTGATTCGAGCGTACAATATTAGCTTGTACATATAATATAGAAGATGTACCTTATGAACTACCGTCACGGTATGCTGTTTGGTTGCCTGTCTCGCGCATTTTATTGATTACAATTCCAATGGCATCACTGTTAAATTACTAACTTCTTATTGCTGATTCTGTTAATAATGCACGTATATGTTGTAGGCCGATTGCCAGCCTTGCGGCTAAGATTCGTAATCGTAATTGATAACTAATACTAGATAGATTAAAGTACATTAATTAATAATAACAGATGAGTGAGCGAGTTGTAAAATTACAGCGAGCTATAATTAATAACTGAGTAGATAGTAAATTACACCGTAAGCCAGGTGCATTGCGACTGAGTGGATGTTAAAAGTACAGTGACCGGTGCGTAGCGCGTTGCTCTTAAATATTCGCGTGGAAGCTTACGACGCCGACAACAGCGCCGATGCCTATTACTCTACCGAAAATCGTCTTGACGTCAGAGAACGAAGCTCTGGAAGGTTCTAGAAGCTTCATCGGCGTTGCTATGCGGAAATATTGTCGTATATTAGAATTTAAGGCGTAGGAAAATTCCTGGATTCGCTGAATCGTGTTTACAAACATAAGTGTCCGATAGGTTGTAACTTTCCCAATTTTAAATTCTGCTAAACTGCTTCAATCCCGAACACAATTAAACTGTTTAATAATATCTACAAATATAGTTACAATTTTTAATCTTTAGGTTCAGTTAGTACTTTTATAATAGTTATGCCAATTTTGTAGTGAATATTTTTGTAGTGTAGTGTGTAGTGTAGTATATGTAATGTAGTTGTGTATGTTATGTAATGTAATGTAGTGAATAGTTTAAGATTAAATGTGAATTTTAAGATTAAAGAAAAGAATATTTTTAATATTAATTAATATTATAACATTTAGAATAAAGAATTATAGTTATCTTATTTTACCTTACTGTAAAGCAAATACATTTTTTAAAATATTACTATTAAATTGTCTAAAAAGGAGTATAATTATTATTTTCATTAAATTTTTAATTAATTTCATTTCAATATAAGAGCAATATTAAAATTTAAAGATAGAATTTCTGTTGCAATATATTGAAAACACCAAAGTTTATGACGAATTCATTTCATCAATTTTCTTTGGAAGTATTTAACTCGTGTTTAATATGAATAATAATTTATTCTAATACACAATAGATAAATCAAAGTTCCATGTTTCAATAAAATCGGATTTATATAGTACTTTTTATAATAAATTAATTTGCATTTAGTATATAATTTCTAATTATATATATATTTCGTCTAAGTTTATTACTGTATGAAATTACAAAGAAAATTAGAATATTAGCAATTTTATCGTTAATAATATGTATATTTCTTTACATTAAATATATTTTATATAAATACAGTGTTCATTGAACGTACCAAAAAAAGAAATATATCGATTTTATAATAATTTTATTAATTTAGCAATTGACCTTCATTATATATATTTAAATACATGGTTTATATTTATATCATTTTAAATACGGTAAAAATGATTTAATAACATCACAGATACAATTATGTATGTACAAAAAACAATTGAAAACGAATGAAATTTCTTATCGTTCTTAATAAAATGAATATTATTACATTATTAAAATTTCATTTTTTAATTGTAATTTACTCATTAAAAATTACTAATTTTTTTTCACATAAAATTTAGAATACTAAAAGATGGGATTTGAGTAATGAGTTTTTTCGAAAAGAAATAACTTTAGAAAATTGTATTTAAAGTAATTACTTCAATTTTTAAATATTTATGTTCTCTTTCGTGTTTTCTCATCTATTTTATTCATAGGCTCCTGAATTCTCTGTTTCTCTATTGTAAAAATAAGTTACAAATTGTCTTCTGATATAGAAAACTTGTCAAATACATAGAGCTTGAGTTGAGTATCGTGTTTCTGTGAAATCAAATCACTGTCTGGTTTGATAGTTCGGGAAGCGCAAGGTGGTTCAATGGATCGAGATAAAAGGTTGCGATTCAGCTCTGACATTGAGGCAGTTCCATCTTTCAAAGATACAGTTGCTTCACGAAGTGACTCTGTTGGTGAAGTTGGAAAAACCACTTTTTCTGGAGCATTTTGTATGAATATTACTCTGAAAATATTTATACATTAAAATTACTTATTGCATACTATTATTAATGTACTTTATTTTTTTAATTTATGTAAATTGAAAATTAATCATTTATAATCTACTCCTAAATAAAAATATAATTTAAATTAAAATACATTTAAGCCTAAAATCGTATAAGAGAAATGTAAACAAATTTGACTGCTGCTAATATAAAAATGAGTCCATTCTTTGGCAATAAACAACTGTATTATATATATATATATATATATAATACAGTTGTTTATTGCATATATGTTAGATATATGTTACGTTAATTAAAACATTTATATAATGTTACATTTGGTTATTTAATAAAATATTTGAAAGATGGCTTGTATATTTTATTTAAAAATTGTTGGAACCTATATTAATAATCTAAAGTTAAATATAATTTAAAAAATATAGTACCATAATTTTTTTCGGAATTAATTACTATTATAACGTTAAGAGTAAAATATGAGACTTATAATACAAAACAATACAACATAGAAATATGTAGAAAAATTGATCAATTTCTTATTTTATTTTTAAAATATTTGAATCTTCATAATTTGAATAATGATGATAAAACACTTAATTATTTTTTGCTTAGAATAAAAAATAATAAAATATAAAACTTATTTTCTACAGTAAACTCCACTATAAATGAATAAAAAGGAGAAATATTTAAAAACTACTTTAATGTTTAAATAAATCTTGATAAATTTCTTCCTCGAATGTTTAAAAGAGAGCATTATACTTAACATTGAGATTATTTACTGAAATTTTTTATATTAGAGATTATTCAGATGATAAATAATATTAATTAAGGATTTATTTTCCATTTAGCATTTTGAATTATCTGTATTCCAAATTATATTTATGGTTTTCAATTTTTTAAAAATAATTAATATACATAAAAAAAGGTAATTTTAACGAGAAAATGATAAAAATAAGTGTAAGTATGAATCAACTAGTTTAAGAACGTATATTCTTAAAAAATTAAAGGTGTAAGTGTGGAATGTATAAAAAAATATTTGATGTTATACAATAAAACGTTTAAAGTAAAACTAAAAATAATTTTGTTAAATTCAATATTTTTATTTACCTATTGAACGTTTTCCATCGTCGACACAGCATAATATAAGTTTTACACTGAATATACATAAATACTAACCCTCCTGTACTGCCTATTACAACAATAATAATTTTCATCCAGAAACCCCATTCGACAAATCCTGTCCTAGCTTCTTCAACGGTTCGCTCTACTAATACATACAAAGACCAAGCAACACAAAGTACCGCAACTACATAAAAAGTTACTGCAAACCATAATTTACGTACTTCACGTTCTGGCATTTCCAACTTTTCCCACTATAACATTACAGAAAATATATTTATTTTAAAATTTTTGAAAAATGTTTAAAATATACAAGTATTTTTATTTAATTGTAAAATAGGTATTTAATATAATGTAAATTTACCATAATTATTGAAAAACTTAAAATACAAATCTTAAAAATAATTTTAATTTATAAATAAATATTTTGTACTAAATAATATTTAAGAATTATATAATTTCATTTTAAGAATTAAAGGAAAGATATTTACTTCAGAGAATGGTTTTGTCTTAGTATGCATAATAAATGTGAATTTACATAATTCACAAGAACTTGTATCAGAAGCCTTTATCCATTGTCGAAGACAAGCCTGGTGCACATACCGAAGACTTCCACTGCAGTAACAAGGGGCTAGAAGAGGAGCACCAACTTCACCCTCACAATGGCAAATACTTTATTCAAATAAATATATTAGTGTATTTTACTATTTAATACGTATTAAATATACTAAAGTATATACTAACAAATTTCTGTATATTTAGATACAAGTGGAAAACTGGAGACAATCATTAAAAAGTCATTTTAACCAATACAATAACAAAATTAGTAATTGATCTATTATTTATTAATAACTTACATATTAGTTTGATAACAACATATTAGAAGAAATTAAAATTTTTTAATCCTAGATTTTAAGAAAATTTGAAACTAATAAAAGTTTAATGTTTATTTGAAAAATTAAAAAATATTAACTAAATAACGTAAATGCTTGAAACAGTTAAGTAATAAAACTTTCCATACATTTTTATTAGTGTTATATAATATATATATAATATTTTAAAAATTGTTCAAGAATTTGAAAAGTTTTAAATGTTATCATTAATCTAGAAACATATTTATAATATTCCAAAATGCTCATAACTAAATTTATTAGAGATTTTACATAATAATATTTAATTTGTGTATTACAAAATATGCATAGAAAATGTTATTATCAAACTATTAAAAACATTCTGGAACTCTATTCAACGATTAGGAAGGCGCTGTATATACGGTATTTAAAATTTTTAATTGTATCACATACTATATATATAATAAAATAAAGTTTTATCATTATTATTGTAAATTCAATACAATTTCATTTTCAAATACTTAAAAAATACTAATATTTGATATTTTAAATATTTAAATATAAATATAAATGTTATTTCAGTATTTTTGAACATTTTTTGTATTATTAGTAAGCACCGATCGTTTAATCTTTGTCGATAATTGCATAGTAATGTAGACGTGATTATAAAAAAATATATATTTTTAAAAGTCATTTTTAAATATATATTAATTTATAGAATTATGCAAATGGCATATAAAAACAAAATTTTTTGTTTTATGTAATTATGTGTGTGTCTGTATATGTACTTTATTTTTATATTTATTAAACAAAAGGATAATTAAAAATAAAACATAAAAATACAGTAAAGCACATTAATAAATTAAATGATTTAAAAATGTAATTGCTTAAATGAGTTATAATATAATGAAATTTAAAGCCTTATCTTTTACAGTGGGAGAATAAAAATATACTTGATAAGAAAAAAACCAACAATCGCAATAAAAACAGGATTGCTTAAAATATAAGTACTTGATGAGAAATGTCAATTAATAAGATAAAAAAGATATAAATCAGTCATAACAATTATGAATACATATATAAATTAACAATACTTTTGTTCGAATTAATAATTTATTAAAACATTAGAAAGAATAAATTAATTCAATCAGACAAGTTTTTAGTTTAGTAATATTTCAGCTATCGGCATATAATAGAAATTGATTTAATAATAAAATAAATTAATGAACATTTTATGATCAACGTAGACATTTGATACAATGGCATCAATTTAAAAAGAGATAATGGGAAATGGTAAATTATTTACAGATCATTATTTATTATGCGTATTATTACAATCGTATTAAAAAAAAATATTACGGTAAATATTACTACATAATCGCTTAGGAACATCTGATAATTAACATACTAACTATTAATAGAATCACATTGTCTAGGATTAGACTAAAAACTCCCATATAGGTCCGCTCCAAGGACATTGTCCACTGGTCTTGGTTTAGTATATTCTAGGTCAGCTAGGATCGGGCTCTGTAGGTATGGCCAAATACGTCGCAATGAGTTGTAAAACGGAAGTAGTATTGTCAATGACTTGATGAAGTTGAATAAGTTGATTGAACAGTGAGAGATACAGCACCTAGTGCCTGAGTTAATAAGGATCCACCAATTCCATACATAAGGACGGTAGACTGTTATCGTGTTATGTTAAGCTTACTTACCAAATCCTCAGTAACGAGCGTGATTTCCGAACCAGTGTCGATTAGGAGATGAGATTGTAGTGTGGTTGATGATACCTTCACTTTAACCAAGGCAGTGGCCAATAGAGCTGCCAATAATCCTCGCCTGGGTGAGTTGACGATTGCTCGGTTTAGTCACTTTATGTGTGATGAAGATGATGAATTGCAATTTGTTGAAGTAAGGCATTATTCCTCGTGTACATTGAGTGGTACCGTTTCTGATCATTCAGGCAACATGGTTAGTTCGTGCATAATCTCCAGAAGTGGGTCTTCAGACAGTTGAAACACAAACGGCGTTCCATTGCAAAGACCTTCCATTCGTTAATTCACAATTCTTCAAATTTTTTACATGCCGTTAGTGCACGGTCTTTCTGTCAGTTGTTGCATTTTTCTAGTATAGGTTGGTTGTGAGTGCTCTTGTAGTCAGTCCTTATGAAGGACTGACACACCCTTACCGGTTTATAGATTGGTAGTTGAGACTGGGTTTGACCCCTTGGCTCCTTAAGTTCATCTGCATAGTCTAGTGCAGTCACTTGCACCATCAAGGATTTTAATTGCGCAAATTTTGGATAGGAGATGAAGTCACTGAGTGATCGTTCCCACTCAGTTTTTCATCATCTTTTATCTGTTATCATCTGTTATCAAGTTGTTTCAAAACTAGATAGACGATTATGCATCCAATGGAGTGGTGCTGTCTAACAAACGCAACCTTCTTAACAAGCTACTTGCATCAATAATTAGATCTTATATCGACCTTTCATCATCCTTTACTGTTGTTCAATTGAAAAAGAGTTGGTGGAGAAGAGATTGGTGTTCTTGTATTGCCTTGTTAGAGTCTCCTATGCCGGCACCGACCATGTCCTCGTTGGCAGAGGAAATAATCACTGACTTGATTATTATTCTACATTCCTCATCTTCCACGGAAATGTTGAGATTGAATGTCTTTATCTCCATATCCTCCTGTATACCTATGAAAAACTTCGATTTGATTCATATTGTTACAAATGTTCTTAAGGCCCCATTGCAATTGTCACCTGGCAACCAATGATTGTCAGTATAGCTTTTTATTGCTGGAACCATTCTGATAATTATTAAGCAAATTATAAATTTGATTATAACCATTGCCTCTACCAGCTCTTCTATTCATCATATTGTAATCTCTATTATTCGGTGTGCCATGATTGCTTGACAAACGCATACCACGTCTCACTCTAAAAACGATACCTTGATTATAATTATTGAACGTGTTGCTGTTGTTTTCACCTTTCCAATTGTCATCGTTCATTATATATAGTTATCTGCGTCGATGTCCGTGAAATGTGTCCAAGGATGGCAAAGCTGCTCATGACTGCCTGATCATTGGCGATAAGTTTTTTCACGTTTCCTATTGACTTATCTAATTCACTACGTAGTTTTTTGTTAAGTGTGCGTGTTGATAATCGGTTCTTCGAGTCCTTCCTTGAGCGATCGGCATGTTAGGAGTTGTTGCTTCCCCTTTTCTTCTTCTCGTGGTTGGCAATTTATTTTCGTACTGTAGTATAAGAAAGGAATAACAATGGGATACTTACAGTATTGAGGATTTTTCTTCCACTTGTGACACAAGTAACGTGTGTCCAGTTGATAGGAACTATGATGCTTGTAATGACTGGCGCGCTTGCACCTAACTGTAACTAACAGTGCCTAATTCGGCTAACGTGTATTTTCCTACATTCGGCTGACATAATGTATCTTGGCATTTTTTCTCTTTATTTATTTGCAAACTATACAATAATATGATTCAAAGATTGTGTTGAGACCTTGTGGGGTCTTTGTTCCTGAGTGATTTCACGTGGAGATAGCGTTCACTGCAGGTCAAGGTGAATGTTGTAAAGCTCCGGGTCCTCTTGTTGAAGTGCGCTTGGTGCAAATTCCTACACTGAGAAATGCAAGGATGTAAATCCTTGACACTCCTTGTATAGTGCCACGTATGACCTTTATTTCAGAATACAGCTCCGATCACAGTAACGTCTTAGTGCTGGAATCCAGTGAACGGCCCCGAATACAACGACGTTTAATACAGAAGTTTTAATTTTCAAGTTTCAATTTTCACTCTTCGAGTGCCTACGGCACCCATTTCAAATGTAAAATTTCAATTACAAGTTTCAGTTTTTAAATTTCAACTTTAATGTTTCAAATTTCAATTACAAGTGTCACGTTTCAAATTTTAATGTTTTAATTTTCAAGGTTTAAATTTCAAATGCACATACACACGCTTCAAGTTTCAATTTTTACTTTCAGTTTTTGATTTAGAGTTCCAAGCGCAGTGATTTTTCAGTGCCTTTTATACCAAAAATAGACCGGAATACAGTGACGGTAAATACAGAGGCTCAATGTCTTACCCACGTGTGGTGTGTGTAGGTGGTGCGCTTCGTATTTAATAATTATTCTTGAAATACAGTCACCACTCTTGACTGCTTAACCGTGACACTTAACTCAGTTATAAATTATTTGGCGTCACTGTTGGTTTACGATTTTATTATTGCTGAGTCTGACTGAAGTATGTTTGGTATATTAGTAAAACTGATAGACTGTTATAGGACGGAGTTTCATGGCAGTTTGAATAATAATTGAGAAAAAATACAGTGAGCCATAACTGATGTCTGAATGATTGATAAAAATACAGTGAGCAATAACTGATGACTGAATAATAGATAAAGATAGAGTGAGCCCAGGTGTGTGGCCAGCTGCTCTTAAATATTCGTGTGGCAGCTAACAACGCTGGCAACAGTGCTTGGGCTTATCGCTAGGCCGAAAGTCTTGATGACGTTAGAAACTAAGCTCCAGAATGTTTGAGAAGTCCAGAAGGATGCTGCCATGCAAGGTTCGAGAATTTTTAATCGATGTTGCTATACAGAAATATTCTAGGACACTAGAAAATAATGCATAGACTATACAAGAATTCACAGAATCAATGTTTACATAAATAAGCGCCCTAGAGCTTGTTTTTTTTAATTCTTCGAATCGCTCCAATCCCGAACACAGATTCATTCATAAAAAATCTTTTATTTACTAAAAAGTATCTAAAAATGTCTGCATTATTCCTATTCATTATACATCAAATAATACATTAATTAAAAATGGAATATGAACCGATAAAATAAGGTTAAAAAATAATACAAATTAAAAGTTGGAATATAAAATCAAGGAAATTCAAAATATTTAAAAGAGTTAAGAACAAGAAACGAAATTCATAAACAACACAATAACAGTGTATAAAAAAAGAAAATTGAATAAATTCCTTCTTTGTTATTGAACGTGGTAATGATGATTTCGACATGTTGATCTTGAAAAAGTGTATGATAATATAATAAAAATATATTGGCTTGCACCAATACTCAAAAAGTTGGAAATTATAAAGAAAGAAAATGTTTATAAAGATCTTTTAGTTTTTAGAAAATATATTTTAATTATGTACGTGAGACTGTAGAAGATTTCATAAGCGCAAAAATTGTTACACCAGCCAAATTAAATTAAAAAATAAATATTTAAGAAAATATTTATATTGCAAAACTAAATGAAATATAAACAAATCGAGGAATTATATTTACATACAAATGTTTGTGAGAATTGTATTGCTTTATTAAATTATTTATTTATACACAATTATTTCTATCTATATCATGGCCAATACTTTTCAAACCACCAAACAAGTTGATATTAAATCAAATAATTAAATCAATTTACTAAAATTTCAAGAAAATATAGCAGAAACATTGGAACAATTAAAGAAGGAATAAAAAAAAGTAATATACAAATACGTATAAAAATGATAATGTTTAAAAATTATAAAATGCTTAGTAATATTATTACATATATAAATATCTATAAAATATTATCAAAATGAAAAAATTCGTTTCTAATATGTGATTAATAAGTTACAGATATTGATATTTTGAAAACTACACGAACCCTATATATAAATATATATTTAAATATTAATGTATGTATTTAGTATATATAAATGTTTTTTCATACATGTATGGTTAGCTGGAATGATTAAATTGTTACAATTATCGTGGAAATGATTTTAAATATTACTTGTCAGAAATAACACAAATCATTCTTCTTTTCTTTTGTTGACAAATAATTAGGAAGTAAATATAGCTATGATAAAGATAAAGAATTGAATATTGCTAAATAGCAGAAGTATGTATTCTTAAAATATAAATATAAATAATTATATATATATTTATTATTTGTATTTCAATAAAGTTTATTTTTATTTAAGAGTTATATGTAATAATGGACCTGATATTGAACAAAATTTTTTATAGTTATCTATTAGTGTTATTTGATTTACCAAATTAATAATATTTTATATTACTAATATAAGGGTCACAATTCAAGAAGAGTGTTACATATATAAAATTGTGTCTACTTCTGTGTAGATATTTCTTAAAAAGACCACATCTTTAATATACTCATAAGAATTGAACAGTGAATTTTGGAATAATTTTAAAAATGACATTCCTCGTTCATATTTTATAATATATAACAACCTGAAATCTAAAAAACATTTTATATTTAGTTTTCACTACTACTAATATAAATATTTCCCAAAAATTTTAATAACCAATATTGATATGCAAATTTATAATTATATCATAAATACAAATCCATAAAAATATATTGCAAAATCTCTACTACTGCATAGATAATTTGGTTTTTTTAACTATATGTGTCTTATTTTATAAATGTTCAATACCTAAGGTTATATTTTCTATATGAATTTATATGTAATTTTTATATAATAAAATGTACCATTTTTTTATTTCATGATTTTTCTAATTCCTCATTTCCTCTGATGTCATTAAAAAATATAAATGAATTTTCATTTTAAAACTTTGAACTTTTATTGTAAATACTGATCAGTGATTGTAATCACTGATTCTAAATTGAAATTAAAAATTCTACTAGCATTTCAACTATATAGAATTGAAACTTTGAGCTTACTTACCGACAAATATCATGATTACTTGATGATAATGTAGTCACTGATGAATGACAGTGATCTGAGATCACTGTAACAATAGGACCATATACTGGTTCCTATAAAATATACATTAAAAAATTTTAGTTTTATCTTTAGTTTTACACAATAACATCAAATAGTTATATTTGCTAAGATATAATAAATCCATAAAATATAAAGTAAATTTAGGTAAGATTATCACTTGTATTACATCTTTACTTTCAAAATTATAAATAATCATATAATAAATAAATAAATATCTTAAAAAATGTTATAATTTTATGATTTTATAAATTCAGTTAATAAAGTACTTAATTGAAAAAGAATCATATTTAGATAATTTTATTTATAAAAATAATGTTATGCTTCAGAAACATTTGATAAGTTACTTAATTAATAATTTAAATGTACTATTTGCAAAGATTAAATTAATGTTGAGACATGCTAGAAAATGCGATGAAGTCAATAAATAGTAACACTTCTTAGTTATAAAAATGTTGTAGTTTTAATAAAATTCTTTACCCTTGGTGCCCACTCCAGAATATGTTCTACAGAATTTGGATTGGATGCATTTATAGAACTGATTGACCGAGATGTCTGCCAATCATTTGGATTGACATTAATTTGATGAAGTGGCATTATTTTTTGCCAAAGAAATAAAAATATTGATGTGATTCTTACTTAAAATTATTTTATTACATATTACTTCCTGTCTAATTACTGTACTAAAACTATCTAATTAAATATTTTTTTATTATTATTACTTCCATTATTTTGTTATGCCAAAGTATTTTATACTATATCTAATAAACATACAATATATGTATATACATTAATTATACTAATATTATCCTTTTTTTTTAATTTAGAAAGTATATTAAAAATTAATACAAAATTTAAATATTTTGTAATCTTTGACTTATGGATATAATATTGTTTAATAAACTTCTAGTTTAGTCTTTAGGCATAAAATAGAGCAAATATATTACATTTCCTCTTTCATAAATTTGAAGACAGTTATATATAAAAAGATATGAAGTACTTCATAATTAGTATATGTCCAAAAACATGAAGCAATGGGTACATATTCTTCATAATAGAACTCCCACCACTTGTTTGCTTGTTATTTTTGTTACTAATATACAGCTGTAATATAAAAAATTTGTATCCAGTTTGAAACAAAGATAATGTAAAAATTGAGTAGAAATTTAGAAGCAACATTATATATGTAATAAAAACTAATATTAATCATATATAATAATTAAATAACCAAAAAAGTTCTGTGCTTTGATTGTACATTTATATGCTTATAAATTTCTTTAAAGATTCTAAAAATAAATCGAAACTGTTGTTGAAATATCAATATATTATTTTCTACTAAATGTGAAGTAATTAAATGAAGTATGATAACAAAACTTTTCACAAACAAACTACCGAAGAAAAGTATTGACGAATATCTTTATTCATCAAGTATATGTAGAAATTTTGATTAAATTATTTACGTATCAACGAAAAGGTCACGGAGGTAAATGTATATATTTTGTTAATAAAATAATATATACATATTTACATATGCAATTGTGAACAAATATATGCGCTAGCAATGTACGACTTTCTGACTCACCAGCAATAAATTTTTTTCTTTTGTACTTCCATAGGTTATATATATTTTATTATACATATATATTTTACTAGCCTAGAATCGATCTTGTTTTTATATAATTCTTTGTATTTTTGATATACACCACTATGCAATAGAAAAGCTTATTTTATATAATAATTTTTATTAAGAAATAATATAATTAAATACAAATATTGATCACTATTGTATATATATAACATAAGATGGTATAAAGAAATTGAAGACGAAAATTTTCTTTATCCTTTTTTTTACTAGCAATATTATTGATGTTCTAAGTAAAACTTTTACAATAATTCTAATATGACGCTCGTGATCACACATAAAATTAATGTGAAATTAATCATTTTACTGGAAATTTGACATTTGTTTTAGTTCCATTTTTCTTAACGTGAATTTCTGATAGTTACTATACATTCTAAACTTCGTTAGTTCTTAGCAAACCAGTCAGAGTTAGAATCATCTTTATGTTAATACAATATAAATATATTCTAAAGTGTTAGAGTGATATTTTTAGTATACAATTTATATGTAAAATCTGAATAATTTTCAAGTTACAGGAGGAGTAACGTATCGTAAATCTTCAATCGCGATTGATGAATTATATAGCAAAAAATTATGACTATTTGACAATTGCGAAAATGTTTAAAACAGAACCAATTGAAGACGGATCAAACAATAACAATAAGACGATTCACCTTGTCTATATATAAACTGTTACTGGAATTAACTACAAAATCAATGAAATGACTGTAAAAAATAATGTTATAAAAGTTCAAAAAGAGAAATTTTTTCGTAAGTTTATCACATTAGTGCAATACCTAATATGCAATGCTAATAAAGGAAGTACAATGTAATTACCAGTAAAAGTTGTTGAAAATTTCAGCATAGTAATATATAAGTTGTTACATATATAAATACCTCTTGATTAAATAATACTTTAATAATAAAATAATGCATTATTAAAACATAAATTTAAGATAGAAACGTGGCATAATTATACATAATTTAAATCATATAAGTATACTCAATTATTTTCTGTAATAAAGATTATTCAAATACATCATATCTAAAAGCAAAATGTTACACCCTCTTTGTTACCGCATTTTCTCACTGACAACTGCTGTTCTCTCTAAAAATGAGCAAGAATTATATACAATATCGTATGTTTTCGTAATATTCAAACAACATTTTTTAAAGTAATGTTTTTATTATTTTCAAATTTATTAACATATAAAATAATATTTTATTTTTTATCTTATATTTTTTTATATTGTAAAAAGTTTAACAAAAATAAAAATATTTTGGAAAAATAATGTGGCACCATTCTATTTACTTTAGTAGAATTATCGTTATATACTATTCTTATTTTATACTGAGTATATTAAGAGTTAAGTTTAAACCTCTATAATATATTAAGTAAAAGTTAATAAATATTTTATATTAATTTCTAATAAATTATAAGTGGACAATAAACAATTAACAATCTCAAATACAAATTGCAGTTAATTTAATCACTAGCACTCATTATGAAAACTAGTTTTCTCTTTATTATTAATATAGTTTTTTTTCTTCAATTTTATAGCAAAATCAGTATTTCAATTAATAATTTAATTAATTTAATTTAATATTTATGTCGTTTCAATAGATTAAACAATTAAGATTATATAGAAACTTTAATTTTTACTTATAAATTGTGTACTTTATTCATCCTCTATACTTTTTTCTCATAAATAAAATTAAAATAATTTTAGCACTATTTCCTAATTGAAGTTTTAATACAATTAAAATGAAAGAATCATTTATCTATACAAAACAAAATAATATTTTGAACAATTTTCTTTTCAATGAGTAAATTAAATAAATTTTAAAATTAAAATAATTTAATAAAGAATCATTAATACTTTCAAATTAAATAATTGTTTATTTATTTTGTTCAATTCAATGAGGAAAATTATTTAATGTATATTTTTTTCTAGATTATTTAATAATAAAATGAATTAATACAAAATATATAACAAAAAATTGTTTTTCTGTTATATATTGTTATTAAGATGCTATAAAAATATTCTTATTTTAAACATATGATAAATTATAATAAAATTTTAAGGATATCTATAAACATTTTATAAAGAAAAATATTCTAGAAAAGTTATACTAAATTTATATGAAATGAGAATTAAAATGATTTTATAAATATAAATATTATGTACATATAATTGTAGGTTAAATATATATATATAATAAATTTATTAATGATTTTATTTATTAAATATATAGAAACTCATAATTTAAGGTCAACAAAATAAAAAGATTATAAAATACTAATTTTTTGTAGATTTCATATTTGTCTAATTATTATTTCTTATCTTTTCTATAAAGTACTTTTTTATTTAAAATATTTAAATATGAAGACGAATACATTTTGAAAACTTAATTGGTCTTTGACAAATCGAACATTTACTCTTCGTTTGAGTAATAGCTTTTAAACATTCTAAACAGAATACATGGCCACATGGAGTTGACATTGTTTTAATATTTTCATCTGATAAATTATCCAAACATATAGGACAACTTAAAATTGATTTATTTTCTGTTTTTGCTAATACTGGTATTTGTTTCGTTATATTCGTATTATTTGAAGAATCATCTAAATTTATAGTCTCATCTAAATGAATGATGACAGAAGAATTTCTGAAAATTAATTTTTATTCAATAATTTTGTTTATGAAAGATCTTAAATTAATTTATAATATAAAATTCATTACTTACTTAAAAAATTTTTGCCTTTTTCTTGGTCTTTTATTTATTGGTTCAATATTTTCAGATTCTAAAGATAATTCTTCAATACTAGTTCTTGGTAAAGTAAAAGCTACATTAGGAGAATCTTGGGTTAAATCAATAATATCCTCTGGTTCTAAAACTGTTGGTGTTTTTAGTTTTCGAGTAGTACGTGACATATTAACTATAACTAAAAAAGTTTTTATTTCTAAATATTTATAATTTGTGTACCTCAGAAGTCATGTAATTAAGTTGCTATGACTATAGGCTTATAACCTCACTTAATATGAAATGATTAAATATTTTAATTACAATTCAGCACAGAAATTTTTATATCTTTTAAACAAGTGATAGATTTTTATACATATTGATATTATTTTATAGTTAAATTTGAGTTTAATATTCATTACATAAAATAACGTTTTAAATATGAGCATCAAACTTCTGCAATTTTTAACCCAACTAAAATTGTTTTAAATCAGGATAAAATTTTAGATATAATTTTTTTCATCGATTATGATAGTGTAGAATAAAGTAAAAATATGTAGATATAATTGAAATTATGAATAGAAATATGAAAGCACTGGATAAAGTAATTAAACTTTCTATTACGTTAAATATGCTTTATCATCTAATGATAGTTTTTATATTAGCTATATATTAATTGATAATTCGTCATGCACCTGTAAGACTAAAGAAAAACCGCTGAGAGCGCTGCTAAACATGAAAAGTAAAGCATATTAACCTGTAGTATGCTCTAATCCTTTTTTAGACAATCCTTTTGAGTACAAGTTTTTTCATTTACTAATAATTAAAAATGAATAAATTTACAAAGTAGTAATGATATAACATATTTTTATTAAAAAAATTACATATAAAATATAAATATTCAGATTTTAAATAATACGAAGATAATTAGAATAAAAATGATTCACCAGAAGCTTAATATAATTTTAATATGAATTTAATTTCATAACAGAAGAAATAAGCATTGATTTATTTTATAGCTATTGAATTTTATAGATTTTAATATTATCTTAGGCTGATTGTGGTTTTTTTAGATTATTTTATTATTTCTTGACATGATTACATAGAATATATTCATAAATGTTGCATGGAATATAACAAAATAAACTTCTAGCAGATGAATTTGTACTTTTATTACTCAGTTGGAGACATAAAACTTTTTGGATATTATTGGCATACATGGACCAATATCTATAGCCGATACCGAATTATCTTGAGATTTAAAATAGAAATATTTTTATGTAATTCTAAAGATGTTGCAATTAATTGTTACAAATACTCCTTTTCTTATACATTTACATTCTTTGAAACATGAATATGGTGATATTAGTTAAGAGCATGTTTAAAATATTTTACCAAATTTTGTTTGAAGATCAATGTCAAACTTACAGTCAGTGAAAAACAAGGGTTTTTTTTGTTAACCCAATATTTAAAATATTTGATAATAATGTTCCATACATTTTGTAAGTTCTTGATCATAAGTACTTTATGATGTACTTATATAGTTTAAGCCAAACCATATTCAACATCCTAAAGAAAAATATTTATTTATTCAATAATCAAATATAATCATTATAGTTTTGCTTAATAGAAACTAGAATATAAATTGTCTTGCAAATGAAAATGAATATGCAGTTCGATAGTTAGATATTTGAAATATACTATTTGAAAAAATTATGAATTTTTTTATTTATGGATAATAGTGAATTTAAAATAATTTATGTACAGTTGTAACTTGGTAATTATATTATTATATTTATTTTTTATGTAAATATTTATATAATTATACTTTAATCATCGTATGTATGATTGTAATAAGTTTAAAACAAACAAATTAGATAAATAATGTGTTGTTTAAAAATGTTATGTTAAAAGTGACTATTTAGTTTCCTGAATAGTGACAAAGAGAAAAGTCAACTAAAGTTAGGAATAGTTGTTTTCATATTATTTATTGTGGTACAAGGATGCATTTTATACTAGAATCAGAAATGTATGCAGATCTAACAAGATTGATTTTTACTGCAAATTAGTGATTTAAACCTTTGGTGAAGTAGTATTACATCTTCCCTGAATGTGCCTGCTTGCAATAAGGGATGTGTGACTACTAAAATTTTTTTTATATACATGCATGATGATGTTATTGTGTATATAATTTATATATCCAACTATAATTTTTATTTATAATTAATACATTAATTCTTTTTACATTACAAACTATTGCTTTATTTTTATTATATTAAATAATATATGCATTATAAAAAATGTATTTTAATTTTACATGTTCGATAAGATATCTATTTGTATAATTCATTTGTGATAGTGGGGAAAGCACATTTGATTTATTTTATGAATATGTGAAGATATTAATATAATTAGTTTGTTTACTTATATAAAAGTAATTAAGATTTGATATTAGTTATTTTAATTTAAATTAAATTTTGTATATGAACTACAAAAAAGATTAAATAAGAACAACTAAATCTTTCCAATAAATTATTAGTAGTTTCGCACATTTTTTTTATTGTGTCAATGCTCATGATTCTTACCAATATGTATAGGCTAGAACATACATATTTAACTGTTTATTTTATTAATATGTATATTTTAATTTAATCAAGCTCATTTATACTATATAATTCGTTCAAAATTTGTTAATGTATTAACATAGTGTCAAATCCAAAAAAAAAAACATATTAATCAAATTTCATCAATACACATTAACAATTGTTAATTAGACAGTTTAAAGAGAATTATTAGAAATATTTTCGTTATTAATAAACTCAGATAAAAATTAATTTTCGTAATATAAAATATTTATATCTTTATTATCGGATATTATTTTTGCTCAGTTGAGTTATGTAATTATTCTTAATACTTATTTTGTTTATAGTCTATATATATATATATATATATATATACATAAGTATAAGTTGTCAATGATAAATATTTATTAATTTCATTATGATAATGAAAAGGCTAGCAATTTCAAACTTAGAATATGATATAATTATAATCTATATTTTACAAAATATGAATTTTGAAAATAAAATTAATATACCTGTCAGTAAATGAAATTCATTCTATTTCTCTTTTATCAATTTATTAATTTTTTTTATTAAAAAAGAAATATATATATAAATTCTCTGAAAATTGATTATTTTCTGTTATGTTAATAAATTTAGTTATTTAAAAAAAAAAGAATATTTAATCCTTTCATATATTGAACATTGTTTCTTTCTGCTAAATCTTCAGAAAAATATACTTATTTTAAAATTAATACATCACATAAGAATATAATTATTTATTAAATAATTTTTTTTTCAAATACATTAATCTTATATATATTCAATAAAATTTTCACAAATATCCTCTATAAATAAACTTCAGTTGCATTTCTAATTTAGTATGTTATTTATATTTTAATAATCTATAAATATTATATAATGTTTCTACATTTCTTAATTTTTTGTATTACATAAATAAAATAGTTAATATTAATGAATTAAGTGTTTGAGATAAATTTAATTATATTCAAAATATTCATTTGAAATTCATTAATAATTAATATAATGAAAATATATAAATTAAAAATATTTTGATTATAAAAATTTTGAGAATAATTTTAAATATTAAATACGATTGTAAATATATATTAAACAATTTTTATTCCATAATATAAGGTATATTTATATTTTTATTGTTATACAAGATATTTATTATTTGAATATGATCTAATATTCTAATTATTTATAGAAATTAGATTTAGGTAACTGTTTTGCTTTCTTTTCAATGTGATTCCAAACTTAATTTATCCGTCAACATAAAGTTTTTACTTTTTTTTTATTTGAAATTCACTCAACATATTTGTTGACATTGATATTTAAATACATTCGATGTATATATATGTACATATAAATTCTAATATTTACACGGATCATTTTATTGTACACCTACATTTGTTTATTTAATTAAAATCTGATAAGGTGTAAGAATTGAAGGTATTTAGACAATAATTTTTTAATAAACAGCATATAAATGTACAAAGTATATTTGTATTATCTATTACACTAAATTATAAAAATATATTTAAATTAACAAATGAGCCTTTTTTATTTTCTCAATTTTGTAAAAGTATGTAGATAAAGGACTAATGTAAGAGTTAAGATACAAAAATAATTAAGTAAGCAAAATTTTATAAATTTAAATAGTTATTGGCTTATTAAAAAAACTATATTATTATTAACGTAACAATTGCAAATATTTATATGCAAATAATATATATAATTTGTTTATACACAATATTGTTTTAAAACAAGGTAATCACTAGTCTCCACTATTGAATTTTCTGCTAATGCATTATAATTATTGGACGCTGTATATTATCGTAATATGATTAACAATAATTTCTTATAATATTTAACTCTTTTAAAAATATCATTAAGATAAAATTCTTTTTAAATGAATAAGACTAAATCTTTATAATAATTTGAATGTTTTTTAATAAAAAATACAAATTGTGTTTTTAAAAACCTAATATTTATTACAATTTTATTAAATAATACTAGTGGTGGAAAATATACAATCACCATTTAAAAATGCTTTTATTCAACTGTAAACAAAAATTTTCATATTTTGTAAATTAATTCTAAATGACAAAAATTAAAAACGCTACACGTTATATATATATATATATATATATATATATATATATATTTATAACATTAAAACTTATTATGAGCGATGTAATGGCGAAAGAAATTTAATAACATTTATAATACGTAGACTTCTTGGCACATGTGATGTTTATACTTCTGCCTACAGTATAGGCGCATAATGGACGGTTATTATGAATTGTATTACAAGTGTAGAAAAAGTTACTTAAATTTTTTTGTATCTTCACATTTTAGTAATCATATTGGCATTTTTAAAATTTTTCATTAATAAAATTACATTATTAAGATTTAATCAGATAATTTATACAATTACTTAAAATTAAAAAAAATATTTTAAATATTTACTATTTTACAAATGAATATAAATTTTTTTCTTTTTAATTTAATTTTGAAAATGAACATGATAAGAAATTCTTTTATAATTTATAAACTTATTAATTATTATGTTGTTATTATCCAAGAATAATAAGGAAGTATTGACATGTAATATAAATAGTTGTTATATAACATATTTATGATATTTCTATTAGGTGAATCTTGTAACATAATCAAATAAATTATTATAAAAAACAGTTTAAGTATGAAATTTAGCTTACTTATTCAGTTACTTTAAACATTTTTTAAAATATTTGTAATACAAATTTATAATTTGTTCTACTATTATTACCATTATTCATTTTATTTACTTATCTAATAATAACACTTTCTAAATTGGATTTCATTATTACTTTCAATTGACTTTTATTTTTATAGATATATCATTTACAAAATATTGAAAAATTTTGCATGAAAATTTGTTAACTACTTTTTTTTTTTTTTTTAAATAATTTTATAAATATTCATAGAGTTCATGTTAAGGATAAATATTGTATGTTTTTATAAAAAAATATAAATAATTAAAAAAAAAAAATTTTAATGTAAAATAAATCTTATTATTGTACTTGATCTAAATATAAATAGCTCAAGATATTAAACCATAGAAATGGAATACCTGCTACATATACAAGGTCTGCAAATGCATATGACAGAATTTTGATACAGGCAATTACCATTTACACATTAGAACATCTAAATTAATTGGTGTTCATATATGTGTAAATATAAGTATTTTATTAAACTGTGTAAGCATCAATAAGTTGAGATCTCTAGTGCACATGCAATGTTTGATATGTAATACACAGTACAAACTAGATAATATGGAATATTTTTGTTTACTGTTATTTTTTATAAGTAAAAAGGTTATTTCAACGTTAATCACTATAATTTTGATTGTTTTTAGTACTGCGATAATGAAGTAGTGATGCATCTGAGAGCGAATAGGTTCCTGGCTCAAAAACTGGAGGGTACTCCAGACCTGAGTAATCAGGTGGTGGTGACGTTGGTGGTGGTATGTATGGAAATATAGGTGGTGACATGTGATGTCTTGTATTCAATCTCTTTTGATATAATGTCACTCCACTCATTATACACTACATTAATAATAGTTAAAAATAAACATTAGACAGATATAGCTCTCAAGATTAATTTCTAATGTGGATTAATGCAAATTAAAATATATCTATTTCATTAATTTAGTAAGTATATTAAGACACGTAAATAAAACAGTTATTAAAAAATAAAAAAAATATGATTAATAATTATGTGAACTTAAATATTACTTACTGTTGGAGTATGAGGTATAGTATTTGAATTCCACTCATTGGCCAAGTTCACTGAATTATTATCCTGATTAAATATCCGATATTGATTATCTCTATTATAAGAACATAAACATTGCATTATTCTATTAGTTTTAGGATTTTCAGTGTCAGAACAACTATATTGATATTGATTGGAAGATTTGTCATGAAATAATGTTCGGTGTAATTTTGGAGAACCTAAAAAAATGTTTTATATTTGCAAAATTATAAATTATAAATAAAAATATGAAACATAAAAATAGGAAGAACTGAAAGAAACATAATATAAACATGTTTAACAACAATAAAACAATATTTACACAAATTCTAATAATAAAAGCAATAATATTGTATAATTTTTAATTAATTATATAAAAATATTTTAGTAATTATTCAAATCTTTAGAATATGTACATATTTTTTATTATTTTATTATACACTCTAATTATTAATTTTGATCTAAATAATGAAAAATTGATAACTTGCCTAATAGTGTTTTTTGTGGTTCATATGATAAATTCAATGAACTAGATTTTTGTAGATTCTTATTTCCAAATAAATTCCTCAACCCTTTATTATTTTTTTTTTGTGCTGTTCCTTTATCTAACTGCGTTTCATAAGCAACTTTTATACTATCTTTTTCAAAAATTGGCAAAGGTATAGGTGGGGAATGGTATTGAACGCCGCGTTTTAACTGTGAATTGTTAATATTGAAACCTTTTTTATCAGCAGAATGCAGCAACTCGATCCAGTTGCGTTCTGAGTGGATGTGATTATGTCTTCGTTGATCAGCCATATTAAAACTACCATTACGTGCAATTGATGACTTCTTTTTGCTGTATTGTATAGTTTCTGAACAGGCATGGCATCTGGGATCACCACTCGAATTTGAATGACCTAAATAATACATTAATATGTATATTTAAAATATTATAAATACATAAATACTTGTAAAGACAAAATTATGTATTAAGTCATTTTTTAAATTAGGAAATTTTAATCTATTTACTTTTTAAATTGAATAAAATTAATGTAAAAGAGTTTGCAATAATAATTGTATTTTACATTTTCTAAGTTACATTTAAAAAAAAAAATAATCAAAATATTTTCAAAGACAAATAATTACTTATATTCATGTTTTTTTAAATCTTGAGTTACATTTGATTTTTTATACTAAATTTTAATTGTTTTTAAATGTTAAGCTAATTTTTAATTTAAATTATTGGTGTGAATACGAAATGCGAGTTGAGTTAATTTTGTTTTTGGATATATATATATATATATATATATATATATATATATATATATTAGTTTTTAGTAATATATGTATTGGTTATATCGGTTAAAATATAATTAATTAAAATAGCTTTATATTATACAAAAAAAATTATATACAACAATCTTACTGATATTTTTTAATATTTTCTTTTTAGTATTCTGTAAATCTTTATTAGCATTATCACCCTCAATAATTCTAGACCATGGCTGAGGCTTCAATCTTTCACCATAATCTAAAGTTGAAAATTGAATTTCACTATTATTTACTGTATTCATAGGATTATTTTTAAAATCTTCATTATTTAAAATGTGTAAATATGGCTGGTGTCCTTCATAATGATTATTATTTGATGGATTTTTAAACTGGGTGTAACTTGATTTCAAAGAGTTCTTGTGGATTTTGCTTTTCATCGATTCATTTCTCACACTATGAATATTTGCTTCATTATCAAAAGGACAACTGGATGTACAAGCTTCAATATATGTAGGATTCCCTAATCTTCTTGATGATAATAATATATTATCTTCATTATTTGGAAAACCATATATCATATGGTTGTTTTGAACCATATTAGTTATAGGACTACCGTTAGCAATATTTTGATCCTGAAGATGCCTATGACCATTGTCCAGAAAAGTAAACTGTGCACTTTTATTATTATTGTTATTAATAGTATGTACACTTTCTTCCTCTTGCCGAGAAAGCATAAATTGTTCTAATGTAATAAACCCTTGAAATTCATCAGAATGCTGATAATTATGGCTTATTTGAGATCTAAAATGTATTAGTACACATATGAAAAATATTGTCATTGAATTTTAAAATTATATACAATATCTAGAATGCTTACAATAGTGTTCAATACTAAATATGAATTATTAATAAGATATACATTTATAATATACACTTTACTTCAAAATTAAATGATATCAAACATAAATGTTCATTTATTATTAAAAAATAATGCTTATAATATAATTATAATTATATTATGAAGACTAATATAAAGTGAACAATTTTTTTAATTAAAAAATATGGTAAAATAGTTTTTCATTAATACAGAGTATTATACAAAAGTGATTAATTATTTCTTTGATATATATGCTTATATAAATTTGATATATATTTATAAAAATAATGAATAAATTTACCTATCTGTAGTTTGTCTATAATCACTCATCTTAAGAGATGAATTTAATACATCACTTGTACTATGTGAAGTACTTAATCCATAAAATGTACTTCCAGCAATAGTTATTTGTAAGTCAGGTGTGCTTAATTTCTCTAGCTTACTAAAATTATATGCATAAACATTATTTATTTAATTGATTGATAAATTACAAGTTTTAGTAATAGATTTGAATACACAAATTATTAATAACCTATTTGGTGTTGTTGGCAAAACCCTTCTGTAACTTCGAAACTGAGCAGTAGGCACAGGAACATTTTGAGTTCTAGTTCCTAAAAATTTGAGATATTTCCTATCTAAACTTGATCCAGATATTTCATGATCTTTCATAATGGAATCTTTTTTACTAAGTTTCTTGAGTGATCGAAAAGCCTTTTCTGTTACAGGTTTTGATTCTATTGAAAGGCATTTTACTTTAATTTTATTTTCTATATCACTTTCATCTGTTTCACTGAACAATCCACTAGTTTGATCAGCTCCAAAAGTTGCTCTGTTTATGGCATCTAACCACATGATAAAAGTATCGTCTGTATCTGCAGCAAAATAAAATACAGTACCTGTATGGTAAACTTTGAAGGCATATTTTCGTGATTTCACTTCAGCAGCCTGAGAAGCTGTAAATCCTGATAGAACAATAAGGCAATTTGCTTTATTGCTATTTTGACTTTTAAATCTGTAAGATTTTATACTGATAAATTTAATTATATTATATACAAAATCATTTTAACTACATAAATCTGATTTTAAAAAGAAGTTTTATTTAAAGTTTTTTTTAAATACAGACCTATATAATGATGTATCCTTCATTATAAACCATGCTCTAGCCCAAGCCCCACCAGCACCTCGACTACGGTAAGTTAACCATCCTTCTAAATCTCCAGGAGTAATGTCCTTAACACTTACATTTCTTCGTTCTAAGATATTTTACCATTTATCATTTTAAAAATCGATATTATCAATGAACATTTGCAAATTAAGTGTATATATTTCAATTATCAAAAAACTGAGTAAGTAGAACATACAATACTTACTAGTTAGATTGGTATTTTGTTTCCTAATATTTTTTGGACTACTGCTTGACTTGATTAAAGTACTATGTAAACCTATACTTTTAGCTACCGTCATAGCTCTGTTAACCATACCCCTTTCATGACTTCGATCTTTTTCAAAAATTCGTTTATTATCTGACTGATGTAACGAGCATGAATCATCAGAAAAATCTTGAGGTTGCGAACAAATAGATACATGCAACTTTGATTCATCTATTGACTTGGCTTCTGCAATTTGAGTATAACCAAAAGAATCATCAAGTAAACATGTTACTTTTATCTCCTGTGAAAATGTTGGTTCATTTATGAAATTTGAATCAGTTTTGAAGTGTTCACTTCTATGATGCTCAGGTAAATTTTCCTCTTTTATAGAGATAATCTCTCGAGCCATATCAATTTTTTTTAGATTTTGCCAAACCTTGCTTCTTTCTGGGATCTTTGGCTTTGTTGGCTAATAATTTATTAAACATAATATTTTAATTTGAGTAGCTATATACAAAAAAAGTACTAATCTATAGTTCTAAGAATATACTATTTTATTTTATTTTATTCATGTTATAGCTAAAAAATAATTATATAATTATGGTTATGTGAACGTTATTAATTCTATAATCATTACAAGAAACTTTTGTTGTCTAATATTTAAGATGACTTTAATCCATGATTATAATTTTATGCCAAAAAGATATAGTAATACAATATACTGATATTTAAAAAAATTTATGTTAGAGAAAAATTAATAAATCAAAAGTTTCAAAACTAATTATAAAATAGATATCAATTTTTTAAATAAACATTGTTTTATTAAAAATAATTTTAAAAAATAAGTATAAAATAGTATAAATTTTTATAATTGTTATTTGAAAGTTACAAAGAGACATATGAAATGTAACTTCTAAAATGAGAATTGAGATATATACTTTGTTTTTAATACAGCTGTTTATAATTAAATATTAACTGATAACTGAAACTGATTATTTATACTGTACATTTATTTAAATGTTTTTAAATGCTTCATAAATTAATTGATCATATTTATCATACCTGTTGCTGTTGATGATTATTTTGTAAATTAATATTGATCATTCGTTGCTGATGTTGAGTTATATCAACATTCATAGTTGATTTTGTGATGTATTTTCTTGGTGGTGGTATTGGAGGCATTAATTTAATCTTTACTTTAGATTTTCCACTAATATCTTGTTTCAAACTTTCTGAATGAATCGGATGAGATATATTATTTGAAATTGGTGTTGGATATTTCATACTAATATTCCCAACTACAGCATTTTTGTAGTGGTGTACATTCGGTGATAAAGCTTTAATCATTTTTTCATTTTGATTACTATCCTTATGAAGGTCACTATATTTTTCACTAATCTCTTCTATAAATTGCTTGATGTTGTGATGTTTATTTTCATTGACTTTAGCTATTTGCACGATTGATTCTGTATGTTCTTGTAAGGTATCATCAATATTATTGAATTTTTTTATGGTAATTTCACTGTTACTTTTGCAATTTGTACCTCTCTTTTCATTGTTACTATTCAATGGTCCAAATGTATCTTCACTGATTTCCCTTTTTGATTCTATGAACTGATTATTAACACTCTTGATAAAATAGCCTGATTTTGGCATTGATAACATCTTCACAAAACCATTATTTTCCTCGTCGGTATAAAAATCTGCAGTTATATTACAGGAATCAACTTTAAATTCGTGTACGTTATCATTGAAATCAATATCAATATCGTCAACTTTAATGTAAAATCTTGTTTTTATTACATCACAAACTGAAGAAATCTTTGAAGTAATCTTTTCTGTACTCTCAATACTACAAATAAAGTTATTATTAATGTAATTCATATTAAAAGAACAAAAATAACTTCAAATATAATGAAAATGTTATTTAATTAAAATGAAACATTATTTGAATGTACTAATTAACTATATTTATTAATTTAATGCAATAACATTACCTTTTATTGTTTATAGTCTTTTCAATATCAGTAATTTTTTGTGCTACATTGCCTATGATTTGTGTATTAAGAAAATCAACTTTTCGATCATTAATTGTACAATTTTGCATATATGTTTGTTTGTGTTCCTCCAATTCTTCTGTAAAGTCAAAAAGAGGCAATTCACTCTCATTTAAGTTACTATTATTGTTATTAACAAGATTAGTATTTCTCATTCTCTGCTGTTTATACTGTTTATCAAGGGCAATTTCGAATTTTTTATCAATAAAATCATCATTCGATTCTGTGAAATTATTACTTGGTGTACTATGACTTTTATCAAATGTTTCATGTTTTTTGTTATTCAATTCATGGATTACAGTTCTTGAATGTTCCTTATTGTCATCTGTATAATTGGAACATTTACTCTGATATACGGATTCTTTAAAAGGCACAGTATAATCACTGTTTTTATTATCACTTTGAGCATCAACGATTATTTTACATGAAGTTTGCAATTGGGCATTATTCTTATTCTCTGTAATGGTCAGTATATTTTATAAATATAAATTGTTTGTTCTATAATTCATTTATGATTTCTTGTATTTTTGTACAAATAAATATATGAAGAACTAACTATACATAATATTACTTTCAATTAAAAAAACTTTAAACTATGTTCAAATAATCAATTAATATATTTATTTTTTCATTAATAAAACTTTTTTTAAGTTTGAAAAAATTTTATGTAATAAAAGTTTTAAATAAATATTTATAACAACAGATCAGCATCCAACATTTTAATATACAACTATAAATATGCAAACAAATTAAATGGATTAACTACTTACCAGAATTAGGTATTTCAGAATATTTAACATTAATACCATTTATAGTATTAACTGTGATATGGTCTCGTCTGTTATTATACGTAAATCGATCATCACACAAATTGTTATTCTGAAATTGTACTGCTCTACTATTACTTATAGTAGCAACTCGTTTCTTACAAGAGTGTTGCTGAAAGTGAAGGCACGTTTGGGATCTCAAATTTACTGGCACTTTCTGCACATTATTCAAACCATGAGCGCATGAAACCGCTTTATCATGTAACTTGAAGGTTGTACTGTGCTTTTCTTTAAGTTCTTTCCAAAATTGTTCAATATCAAAATTATGTTTAATTGTAGATGAAGCACAAGTAATAGTGGCACGTCTTTGAATCAGGTTGCGTGGTCTAACAGAATAAAATCGTACCGACGACGATGTTTCAATTTCAATATCTGAATCACTATTATCATCATCAGTCATCATTGTATCAAATATGGAAACCGTATCGAGAATTGAAATTGGCTCAGGAATGGAAATTTTTGGAACGTGTCTGAAATAATTGAATTCCGTTTTTTTAATTTTTAATTATAAATTAAAATTTTTTTAAATATTTCAAGTATTTTAAGTATTTTATTTATTATTGAATAAATGATTTTAAAATGTATATTTAAAATCAATTAAAAAATGTTGAAATTATAATTTATTTTATAAGCATTTATCATAAGAAATGACAAATGTAAGTACTATAATATTAATATTTCTTATCTATTAAAATAACTTAGAAGATCAAAGATTGAATTAATAAAGAAATAATTGGCATTAAATTAAAAATTTTTTTTTTTATACAAATTTTTTACATACTATAAATTCAACTTCAACATTGTAAGTCAGTTAAAATAGGAATTTCAGTTGTAATTAAGGATTTATAAAGTAACTAATTGAAGCTGTATTAATCTATGAATATCAATATTAATGAAATCAATTTAAAAAATATTTCACATATTTATATTAAACGAAAAATAATAAAACTGTTACCTTGGTAATGGCATTGTAAAATCAGGTATTGTTAGTAATTCTGGTCTTGGAGAAGGTAAATTATTTTGCCATCTAGTTGCATAAGGGGTTTTTTTATTGCTTGGCAATCTGTATGGTTTAATATATATTTGACCATAAATTTTCGTGTGCCTGGGCCTTTTTTTTAAAGTTAATAAACTTTCTGCAGGATTTTCGCGAAATAGTTCTAATACGTTCTTCCTTTCCCAACCCACTACAGTTTGATAATTAACCTGAATAGATGACTCATAGCATTTATATTACATTATTATATTATTATATTACATAACATCTATTATAAATTTATATTTAATTCAATTACATACAATACATACAATATTACATACAATAGCTTTTATATCTACATGTAATATTGATTAAATATTTTGTTATTAAAAATATAATTATAATTATAAGAATAATAGTATTTTCAATATTTTATTATTTCATGAATTAATAAAAAATTAATTCTAATAACAATTGTAAATGAATAATTATTTTAAAAAATTTTATTTATGTATCAGTTTTAAACTATAAAAATTATTTAATTTAAATAGAATAAATTAATAATATAATAATGTATTTAGTTTACCTGTACTATTTCATCACTTTCTTCTATTTTTCCACACTGATGAGCTACTGATCCAAATTTAATTTCTGTGATTTGATGTGCACCATGAAAGGAAGGAAGAACACAAAAACCCTGAATAGAAATAATATTTTTATATTAATTGGTTGAGAAACAAAAAGAATATACAAATTCTAACCATTTATTCAGCATCCATATCGCGTTTATTATCACAAGAGGAAGTAGAAGCTCTGTTATAATTAAAGGAATTTTGAGATTCAAGATACTTTTTCTGTAGTTATCTGCAAACTAACAAAACTATAGACTTCAAGAATAACTCTTAAATTTTATAATATAAACAATTTTTTATCTTGAAATAAAAGCTAACTTTATGAGCTGAATAATAAATATATTGTGGGACATAAACACAATTAGTTTTTATAAAAAATTTTAAATATTTGTGTATTAAATTTGATTTCAAATAAATTGCTAATTAATAATATTTGTATCAGTTAATATATAATTTTATATGCTATAATTTTATTAATATAAAAACAATACCAATATGTACCTTAATACAACATTAATTAATTAAAACATGTTTATTTATCTTACCAAATCATCACCAGGTCTTTTTTTTAAAGTAGCCAAATCTAAACTTGAAGGTTGTAGTAACAATGGATCAGCAATATCTTGAATAATATTGTCTGCAAGTTTAGCCATTTGTTTACATGTGGTCCTGATTTCTTCAATTGGTTTTTCAGCAAATCTATCTCTTTGTGCACATGTAGCCATCTCCAGTGATAATTTAAGCAACTCAATCTTTTTATCATTGTAAGTCTGCTGTCCACTAAATGGTTGTTGATCTAACCACCTTATTAATGGCTTTACCACAGTAATTATTGCTACTACATCAGATAGTGTTTGTGTAGTGACAGGTTGTGAGTCATTCTGTCTGACCAATTCATTATGTAAACTGAGTGTTTGACAAGATAGGCGCATTGCCAAGAGCTGAAGATTTTCTCGATCCAGCTCATAATGAAAATTTCTAAGGTATTCAACTGCCTCAAGTATAATCTCTTGATGTCCTAGCTTTAACACACCTAAATGCTCCAAATCCTCAGGTCTAAGATTCAATAACTGCTGTCCACTGACATTGTGATTCATAAAACTATGAATATATGGAAGAATAGAGTTCTCTAATCCTAAAAAAAGAATAAATTATTAAATACAATAAATTACATCATATGAAAAAATTAACGACTAAATGAAGTACAAATTTCTAAAAGACAATACAATTTTTGTAAATAATTAAAATTTATATATGATATAAAATGCAAATAATAAATATTTGATTAATTACTTTTGCTCATTACAAAAATCTTTTTGAATGAGATTGTAAATTAAGGTTATATTTATATATTCTATTTAATTGGAAAAATAAATTATTGATTTTTATAATTATTGTAAACATTGTATTTTTAGGCACATCATAGAAAGTAAATACATATATACATATATATATTTAATATATTTGATTAATATTATAACAAACTTTAAAGTTGATGCAGAGTAATTATAGATATGATTATATTGTAATTACTAACTTAAATAATAATGAAAAATAACTAACAATTATTTATTGATTTAAATCAAACTTAAAATATAATTTATGATAGATTTATAATCAAATACTTGCATATGGTATGTAAATATTTATATATATATTATATTATTTAATATTAAATTCCCATAATTTACAAATTAATTCATAATAAATAATATAAGAATATTAATCATTTTAATCTTTATTTTTGTAAACTATAAGATTTTTTACTTATTTTATATATTCAATAGTATAAATGAAAATTAGTAAATTAAAATAAAACAAAGTATACCTCATGAAATTATTGAATAAATAGTAATCAAACAAAAAATTGCTTTTTGTATATCATATACATCTATGTGTATCTACATATATATTAAATCTATACCTATGATATATAAAGAGAATTAATATTCTCAACAAAAAAAAATACAAATAGTAGATACAATCATATGATAAATTAAGCTTTATGTAATATCAGTCTCAACATATTTTTTCTTCCCTTCTTCTTCAACAGTCTTTTACTCTTTTACAAAATACAATAAAATTATCTTTTCTTTCCATCAGAAGTTACAGTTTAGATAAAATTTTTTATATATTTTAATTTGTATGGTAGAATGTATAGTCTCTTTGTTTTTAATTAATTAAAGTAGTCATACAAAAAATCTTTTCTACGTAAAATTTATAAGAAAAATACAATAGAATAAAAATATTTTTTAAATATTAAATTTTTAAATCTGTGTAAGAATATAAGATATTAAAGATAGATTAAAAAAAAAACTTAAAAATATATGCTTATATATACCATTGCTCATTTTTTTATAACGAAATTTAATTTTAAAGATAGGGAAATGCAATATATATATGGTTTCTTTTATAAATAACGTTTATTTACAATTTGAATGAATATACGATAATTTAGAACATGCACCACAAAATTTATTTCCGTTTGCTTTACAGATATATAAAAACCGTCAGTTCAATTTAAGACAAGTGAAAACGAGAGAAAATGAAAGAGTAGGGGAATAAGCTGAAGTAATGTTCAAAAAGCCAAAGGACATTTCCAAAAGTTAATATAGACATTTTATGCTTGAAAATAATATTTTAATTTTGATTGAATGCAAAATCGATGACACATTAATGTTTTACCATTTTATTTATAAATTATTGTATATACTTATAAATAGTGATTCACACCTTTTAACCACTCGCACACTTGATTTGTCTTCCACTCAGCAACATTAACATACGCCATCACTTGCCATGACCTATTCGCAATCTGATAAATTTTTTCTTTGTAACGACTTAACTTTAATAGTGACGGTAATGGCAGCACGATAGCAAAAAACTGTAGTATTTACAACTAGAGTGTAAGAGTATATATGCATGCAACTGCCTGTTCTTTTAAGTATGAATACATTACAAGAGCGATTGAATAAAACTTTTCTGTTTTAAATTTTATAATATTAAATTTGCAATATGTATTTTTGTTGCGCATTGTGTTAATACATACTTTCATATGTGCATATTCTAAACACTGTTAGGCAAATTAATTTGTCGTCAAAATCATAACAAAGTTATATGACATGTGCCTTTTTTAGGCTTTCATAGGCTTTTTAAAGTTTTCATGTAAAATGTATATTTAACGCAAATCTAATGAAATATTACCATTGTAGAAGAATTTTTAGGAACTATAAAATTACTATTTATTAAAAAAAAATGAATAAATCATTATACCTGTATTAATTAATAAATATACATTTTTTTAAATAATAATATTTACACGAATTATCTATGCGTTTAATTAAGTAAAAACTATACTTTTAATTTATCTTTTACATTTACAAAAAACAAATTACAGTTTACATACCATGTACAGTAAAGAAATTAATTAAATTAAGAAAAAGCATACAATTTATATCAATCTCTTGATTAAAAAATGATTACGTACAAATCATGTTTTGCTTGTTTTATTAATTATTTTGTGCACTACAAGGGGATATAAAAGAAATAATAAGACACGGCATAAAGTTTTTAAAATAAAATTAAAAATAATTGATTATAAACATTATAAATAAAATAAATAAAATCATAGTCTGTAAAATTAAACAATAATTTGTTTAATTACTACTACCATTATATTACTATTATAATTACTCTCTTTCTCTTATTTTTGATAATTACATATATTTATTACAATTATTATATTTAAAATTCTTTGATATTGTTCGTCAATTATGCAGTTTTATGTTCAATTTTATATTAAAAAAAAAAATTAGTTATTAACTGTTCAGGATTGGAGCCCTTTCCAAGAAAATTAATTCTCTGAAATTCGTCGAAAACGTCCTATAATATTTATCTAGTTTCCGCATAGCAACAACGGTTAGAATACTCCAACCGTATAAAGCTTGCTGTCCTAGAATTCTAGAAACTTCTAAAGCTTTAGTCTCGAAGCCCTGTATAATTCTTCACATCGCAACAGCTGTTTAATGTTGCCAGATAATCAAACTCGTTCGAGTATTTAAAGTAAACACGCATAGAAGCGCGCGCACTTGTTTGAGTCAACTAAGAGGAGACACGCTGTATTGCAAGTGCCACTACTTTATTACTGCATTATAGATTAAGGCACCAGAACTTCTGTCTTACTTCTGCATCCGGAACTGTATTCTGGATTAAGGCGACAATGCCCGCTAAATCTCGCTAAGTGCCACAGCGGACACTACCAAGATACAGTGAGGTATTGAATCATTTATATTTATTCATTAAAACGAGACTCGCACTTAAAACACCACACGTGACACTATATAAGGAGTGTCAAGGTTTTACGACATTTCACTTCCCAGTGTAGTAATCTACACCAAGAGGACCTGGAGATTTACAACCACCAACCTCGACTTGCAGTGCATGCTAACTCCACGTGTAAGCCCACTAAGGAACGGTAAAATCTAAACGATTCTCACCAGCACCGCAGAATCATAACTGTGTATTTGTAAATTAAAACTCAATAAATAGCACGAAAAGTAGTTGTGTTGATTACTGAATTGAAGCAATAATCTCTCACTTATTCTCACTGTTCCATCAGTAAAATGGTGCATATGGTCTAATCCAACCATCTTGGTCCTACGACCACCGGATGAATGGAATTCTGAATATTTGGTCCTTCGAGTCGTGTAATTGGAAGCTAGTGCATCACTTCAATTTTTAAACATCAGGAAGGACGTACCACTACACACTCGGATTATACCGTTACAATACTTCTAGTGCTATTATAAAAACGTAATACTATAACTGTGTCACATCGTATGAATGAATCTCCTTATTGCTGTAAGTATTCTGTTTTTCTTTCTTCTTGTATACTGAATCATCATTAAAAAATGCCAAACAGCAAGAAAAAAAAAACTAGAAGAATTCACAAACCCTGAAATACCTATCACTCAAGAAGGTGAGTAACGTACGACTAACAGTGCCATCACTGTGCGATTACCCGCTGAGCTCACGCTGAAAGCTCAAATCAGTGGAAGCGTATTATTGAAATAAAGGCGCTAGCGAAAGGACTCCCCTCGTCTCATTTGGACATATCCCTCGAAAGAGTCCTAGGAATAAAAGAATAAGTTGAAGACCTACACAAGGTCTTTCAAAATGAACACCAGTATTTTGAAATAATATTGCCGACTGCAATTAAAAATCATAAATACTTCACAAAGCGTACACTGCTGCATGAAGAACAATTTACGACTCAACTCAAGCAAGTAGTAGTTTTTCACCACCCTCCAACTGATGAGATAATGCAAGCGACACACCACCCAATCCATTATTAGTGAAAACCTTGTTGGCCATTGCATTGAAAAAAAAGTTCATCGTTGACAAACAAAACAAGGAAGTGTCATTTCGTTTGACCACTGTAAATTGTGGCCCCATTTTTAGCAGTCAGGATACTACTGCAACTGGTAGAAGAAGAGGGAGAAAACTTTCCTCTGGCTGTGCCATCCATCCCTCATGGCAGATATGTCGATATCTTTGGAGGTGCGCACACGCCGCAACAGCTAATCGAAACCGCACTTCAATTGCAAAATCTCCGCGTGGCGGGCGATTTCCCACTGGCAAAATAGCACTCAACAAGACAAGAATTCCTCACAGCCATTAAGGCAGACTAGAAATAGGAGTCAATAATCACATTTGATAAATCACAAACAATCACATTTGAACAATTACAGATAACTGCTTAATGGTCCACCATCAGAGAGAATCTATCAGAGCTAGACAAGATTGTAATACCCGGATAATTTAATACAGAAAGTACATCTACAGTGGAATTACATGGTTTCTCTGATGCCTCTCAATTGGAAATAGCAGCAGTAATATACCTTGTCGTTCATAACTCAAATAGCACCACATTTATTCTTGGGTGTTCCAAGATCAAGGTAGCCCCCCTTAAACGGATCACCATCCCAAGATTGGAACTGGTAGCAGCATGCTGTTACCAGTTACATACAACTCATGCTGTACGTCAGGACTACACTAAACGTAAAAGTAAAGACAACACACTTATGGACGGATTTTGGAGTGACATTCACATGGATCAAGACACTTGTATCACGCTGGAAGGACTTTGTGAAAAACAGAGTCACCCAAATTCAGTACATCACTGTAAACGCTCACTGGAAATATGTTTCAGGTACCTCAAACTCTGTAGACTGCGCATTCCGAGGACTGACTACTGCTCAATTGAAAGATCATGTATTATGGTGAACTGGACCTCCATGGCTACCCTCACCTGACTCGTAGTTAAAACAACTTGCGCAAAAAGATGAGGAATGCACTCAAGAAGCCCGTCCAGGCATCTCACTAATGGCAGTAGCTCAATAGCCTGTTTATCACTGGAACATCAATTACAAGTATACGAACCTCATAAAGCTATTGAGGATTACTGCTCTATATATCAGATTTATTGTACGCTTGAGGAAACAAAGGGGGTCATGTCATATCAACCTCATATCATAAATGGATTTAGAAAAATCAAGAATTTTTTGGATAAAGGCAACTCAAGCTACTTACTTTTCGCATGAACTTAAGATCCTTCAGTTTAAGGCTAGTTTATCGACTGTTCATGCATTTCACCGCTTGACCGCGTACGTTGACAATCAAAGAATCATAAGAGTTGGAGAAAGACTAATGAGAGCTCCGTTAACACAAAGAAACAAGCACCCTGCTATACTGCATTCACACTTCACAAATCTCATCATAACGCATGCCCATCTCCAAACTTTTCATGGAGGCACTCAACTCAGACTGGTATACATACGACAGTAATATTGGATTCTTGGTGGAAGATCCCCAGTGAAATCCCACACATTGTGTTGCGTCACATGTGTCCGTCATAAGGGATCCGTGCTCATCAATTGATGGGCTAACTATCTCTTTTGCAAGTCACGCCGTCATGACCTTTCACCCATATAGGTGTTGATTATGCTTGTCCTTTAACCATAAAAACTTGGAAGAGACGAAGTGCAAAAACTCATAAGGCATAGATCTGGGCATTTCTGTATTTTGCCACGTCCACTGTACATCCCGAAGTGCTGAGCGACTATACAACCGAAGGATTCATTGCAGCATTCCGACGATTCTCGGCTCGCGCTCAAAAAACTATTCATACAAGGTTCCTAAGAACATCAACAAGATAGCTATAATCCTCTCGAATGACAGCACTCAATGGGAATTCAATCCACCCGCTACGCCTCACATGGGACGAAAATGGGAGGCGATGGTGAAATCCACGAAATTCCATCTAAGACGTAAAAATTGGAAAAACCTGCTGCCCTTTGAGGAAATGGCTATGCTGCTTGCTCAGATTGAAGCAATCCTCAACTCAAGGCCGTTGGAACCAATGACCGATGACTCCCAAGACATTTGGGCACTCACACCAGGACATTTTCTAATAAGAAGTTCGCTCACTACCATCACAGAACTATCTCTTAAAGAATTATCAATTTCAGGATTGACTCGCTGGAAATTTATACAACAATGTGTACAGCAATTCTAGTCATATACGGTCTACTCATTATCTGCAACGACAACAATCGATTTCTAAATGACATCACCCGCGGAATGACTCAAATTCCGAACATTAATAATATATGAAAACAAAGTTGATTTTAATTTACAGAATTTGTTCGAAAGGTTATATTTGATCCGGTTCGAAAGATCAATATGGATTTGCATTGATTAAGGACCAAATGTTTAAAAATGTATTTAATTTTCTGGCTCGAACTGACAAATTCAATAGTTTATTTATCGCCCGCCTTAGCGATGCTTAGGACAG